GCTCGTAGCTTCCAATTCCAAGGATGCATTCGTTACAGCAATGATAGTTACTGCCATGTACAGTGGTATGGAAGTGGAGAAGTCACGACGGAATGGATTGGTTGAGTGGGGTGGCAAATTTTTATTGCTGAATCCACGATTGCTTTCGGTTTGCTCCAAAGAAATATATTCTGCTAACCAGATTTGTGATGAGGCTGCCACGGCAGAATAATCTCTCAAAATATTATCTGCACGCTTAATGACACAATTGTAATTTTCTTTGTTCTCAATAAAATGTCCGCTACGCTTTATGCAGAGCTGTGACCTTTGGATGTCCCATTTGTTGGGCAGTCGAGCTACAATGAAGTTCTCAGCAGTGTTTTCATGTTTTGAAAGTCTTTAATACTAGATCCAATCCCATAGTCGTTGGGACAATGGGGTAAATATTTTTTGTTGAATGTAAAAAAGTCCAATATTCTCCACTAGACTTGACATCATACAAGTCACTACCACTAAAAGCATAGTGGTAGCGTGTGCATAATTTAAGCCAGTCTGTTAGGTCTTGTTTTCCGTAACTCTTTGTTTCCTCCGTTTGAAAAAGAAATTTCGAAATCAAAATGCTAACCTTGTTTATGTCTGGACGACTTCTGAGAATATTAAAGAACAATGCTTTACACAGATTGTCAGTTTTGCGATAACTCTGCATGAAATATATGGTCCTTGGGAGATAGGAATTTTCCAAAAAGGCGAAGCTATCCGCGGAGGTGGTGTCGTGGAAGATTTGAACGTCACAATGTTCAACGCCGTTCAGAAAATTGATTGGGATATTGATGTCGTATTTCAAATTTATATACCGATCAGCGTCCGACAACAAAAGCAATGAAATGCTGACGAAGTAGTGGATGAGGGACATGTTTTTTTTAAATTGTGATCCAGAAATTAGGAACTTTCATATTCATTGCCAAAGTAGAATCCTATGGAGCACTGGGTGATAGATTAAATTTAATTCGGACATGTAAACCGCCCGGTTTCTTGTATTTAATATCAATTTGTATGATTTGTTGCGTGTAAATGAATAAAATTTTACCTTCCTCTCATCTTCACGGTCTCCGGTGCCATGTAGAGTAAGCATATCAGATATGACACCGATACTCTAAGAGAATTTTTATTGTGATTCGAATACAATGAATACGTCAAAGTTAATATCGGTTTGCTACTCATCCTCAGATTTCCCACATATATTTTTAACAAAGGCAAAACCAGTAAGCCACCTTAACAAAGCGAGTAAATAGTTACAAGGCCAAAGAGTGCATTCGTTCATTCCTGTTGAAATGTCGACAAACGTGAAGCCCAGAAGGTTCATGGTAGCGCGTAGCTGTCCGAATGGATCGTGCAGGCAGCTATATTTACCGCCAAAAAGTTTAATATTTTGGTTTTATTTGATTTTTTAATGGAACTGGGCAACTTGAAGTGTCTAATTTAAAGAGCCGCTCAATTACAGATGAAAAGGTCGGACGAAACTATATTAACCTTTGCAAATATACCTTTAACCAATATTACTGGTCAGAGATGTATCTTTGTTGGAAGTGCTACTACAAGTCCATCATCTCAAATAATGTTAACCATCTGCCGTGCTGGGCTAAACAAGCATGCATACCTAAAACTATATTGCGAGTTTGAAAGCTCTTAAGACGATTAGGGATTCAAATTACACAAATACGGTTAGCATCATGAATCATATATGTACATATGTAGATGTATGTACATACATGTGCACATACCAGAGAAAACCCTTCTTATGAAAATTGCCTTGTTAGGTACATGTTTCTTATTTATTGCTTAATTAATAATGGGGGCACGAAACATATTCAACCCAGAATCACCAGCCTAAGGTTGAAATATCAATTCTTTAGAAATAACATTTAGTGCAGAACTTGTGTATACGTGCAAAATTCAGAGAATTGAGCAAATTCTCGAAAACGCTCGCTTTTTCGAAGGAATCACTGCGACAAAAGTCTCAGTTGCTGCCATTAGGCACAAAATCAACCATTTTAGCGATGAATATGTGGACCCTGTAATAACGTTGTTATTATAGGAATCCTCTTTAAAAGTGAGGTTGTCACAAAATAGTCTGGGCTAAATATGGTTTGCGTCCCCATTGCAAGTTACAAACTGCCTTTAATCCCTGCACAATTTCCTTCACTTATTATTAACAATTTCTTTCCTCCCCTTCATTAATTCCGCTTCGCCAAAATCGCAGAGATCGTAAACGCCACCAAATTCTCTATGAACGAAACCTTCGTCTGCTTATCCAACTGTAAAAATCTATAATCAAACATTCCCGCATACAGTATCAACTTCCTCATCGCTCTTATCCTCATTCTCAAACACCTCCTCGGACTAAACTTCACTCCAAAGCAGGAACTCAAATTAGGAACCTGTTCCGGAACAATTTTAAATTTCTGAATCGCCACGTGCGACGCTTCGCTCATATACGTCAACGGAATCAGGATGATCTGAACTACAGACACATCCGCCACCGCGATGAAGGGGACGACCCAATAAATCGTGAGGGGGATTAAATTGTACGCAACGATTGTTAGATACCACGTGATAATTCCGGAAATCATGGTCAACCCGAGCAGCCCGGCGATCGCGACGTCGGAAAGTTTCTGGGAAAAAGCGAGCACAATGTGGCCCATGTCGTGGACCCGAAATGTCGCCGTTACCGACATTTTCCCGCGGGTGTATTGGCGAATAAGGATTAGAAGAAAGTCGACAGCAACGTTTCCCGCCACGTAGAGGAAGGAGGCGATTTGGAAGAATTCGAGTAAAGGAATGATCGATAAGATACAGCGGATGGTGGAGATGAGGATTTGATGGTTTTGGAAAATTTTGGAGGGGAGGATATCTTCAAAAACGTAGTAGAATGGATCTAGTTTGAAGAAAAGGACGGAAACGAGGCCAACGAGGGTGAAACTGATGGGGAACAGGCGCATGAAGAAGACGGCACAGCGGGTGAAGTAGGCGGAGGTTCCTTGCATGGGAACTTTGGATTCTGTAATTGTAAAAAATAAATAGATTGGAAAGGTTTTTATGTAGTAGGAAATCTCGAAATTTCGTGACGATTTTTTAAAGCATCAAAATATCTACGCACGTAAATGCACTCTGAATTCTAAATTAACTAAACTGTATCAAACAAAGAGGAAACTTAACTATTTATTGAGTTAACGTTAGTCTAGATTTATTTTAGTTTACGTAAAATTTAATTTAAAGCGCATTTACTTTTAAAAACTGTAACATTATTTGCAAGAGTGTAAATTACATAATTATGAATACCTTCGTGCACTATTTTCTCCACGATGATCGCATTTTCCCACGACGCTACCCCAACTGGGCCGTCCATAAAGATTAAAACCCCACCCCCAAAGCCCACCATGCTGCTCATGATTCCCAAGAATGCTTGAACCAGGACGATCTCCTTGCTTCGAACGTTCGTCTCCTTGACGAAAACCTCCCTCAGGCAAACAATTAAGCAGCAAAACGTTGCAAAAAGTTGGAAACACATGGTGCCATACCAAACCCGTAACTCTTTGAAATTAACCCAATACACGAATTTCTTTTCATTAACATCCCAGATGACGGGAAGCCTCATAACTCTCTGAAATAGGGAGGCGTACGCGTCTAACGCGAAGATTGCGGAGTGGGTCGGCATTTTTAAAGGAAGTTCTAGAAATCTGGTAAAGTCAGGTATGCAGGTATTGATTTCTTGGTAATAAAGTTGCTACCGCCTGGGATTAGATTATATTTATGTACGGGTCAGTGAAAATGAGCTACCGATATGGTAAAACTTTAATATCGCGTTAGTATTTGTACACCGAATTAGTTATAAATGCCAGTTGGGTACTATTTGAATCCTGGTTTTCTAAGAGAGTGGATAAATATTTTTGACCTATGGGTTACTTTTTTGGAGAATCTTAATTGTCACAAAAGTGCACGTGGAATGATATTTATCTTTAATACATACATAGTTCCATGACCACCTTTTTATATAGATGACCAGCTAAATACCAACTTATAAACTTGATAAACAGCTTAATAATATATGAGATGGCTTAATTAGGCCTAAGAAATTGCTGGAACTTTAATATCAACAATATTTCTAGCTTAATTAAGTTTGGCAAAAGTTTGTATCTATGTAAGGCTTCATTTTTAAGTTTATTGGGTGCATGCATATTTGATGGTTAATTCGGTATCCAATTTAAATTAAGCATCATCCTTAATAAGTTATTAAGTGTAGAAATTCGAGAGGAAAGAAGAAATTAGATATTGTACAATTAAAATTGATTGGGTAATTTTTTAATCAGGTTCCGAAAACGAAATACCTAAATACGTTTTTGTTATTAAGATAACATACATAAATATGAAAAAATAGGAGGAATTAGATTTAATAGGAAGGAAATTATGTAGGATTTAAATTGTTGGACAATTTCCATGACATGATTTCATGACATGATCACTTTTTTGTGATGAAATTCGTTTTTATGAGTGCATACTTTCAACCAAAAAGGGAGACTTTTTTGTAGCTTTCGGTACCTACAGTGTTATTTACAGAGGTAAACCTTTTTCTCTGCATGGTTGCTGTCCCTTAAGTATGTCCTGAAATTCCTTACACATTTTCCACCCAAGAATCAGGTAACCCTTCAATATCCAATGGAACAAAGTTTGTATTGAAATAGACCCTAATTTAAATACAATACATGAGATCCGTAAACTCAAACTTTCGTAAATAAATAGATTCCAAACCCTGTACATTGACCTTAAATCGTATAGATTTAAGGTCTACAAACCCCGTATTCAACCCTTTTTCCACTCACTTGTGAAGACATGTGTACATGCATACATACATAATTCTCTCACTAAAGTGTATTTATGTATGTGTGCGAAGTAATCAACCATTGAAATTTTGTTTAAAAAAATTATAATAATTTTCTTCTGAATTATTATTGTTAACCGGAAATTTCGAAAGGTAAAACTAGTTCAAAAACCATTTTTGTTACATATGTACATTGTTTCCTTCTTAACCTGCAAGTGAAGCACGTTTTGTTAAGCGAAAATTTGAGAAATGAAATATGTAAATAGGTTGCCATTAAAATTTCCAATTTTTGTGTGATTTTTGTAATCATTCTAAAATGGATTTTGAATCAAACGATCGTCCCATTATTCCCCCACACCTGGCCGTTACGTTACCTGAAGTAAGTTTTGGTTAAAGAAATTTGCTCCTAATATGGGCATAATTAGTTAAAAGATTTCTACTATTTTCAAATTTACTTTGCTCCCCAATTTCCAGATTGTACGTGAAATAGTGTCCTTCATTCCGAACCACGACCTCTGCAAGAATGTCACACTAGTTTCCCGCGGATGGGAAGATGCCGCTCGGAAACTGCTCGTCTCTCGCGTCCGTGTTAACCTCACCCCGCAAAATATGGCGAGCTACCTTGAACTGACCAAGATTCGTGGAAACCACAACAAACGTGTCTTCTTGTCCTATTTCAATTTCGAAAATTTGTCCCCCGAGGAGTCCAATCTGCTAGAAAATTTCACCTCCACCGCGACCGCACCCATTACCGAGTTACGCTTGGACTACTTCCCCTATGGAGCTATCCACCCCTTCGTCGTCTCACTATTCTCACATTGCCCCAAGTTAGAATTTGTCTCCTTCGCCCCACGACCTTTTAAAATTCCAACGATCAAAAGTTCCCACCCAAAAGGGGTAAGTTTCCCAAAAGTTGAAAAATTCGAGATTTTCATGACGCCTGACTATTCCGATTTCGACGAATTTATGAACTCATTAAGTTTGACCGATTTCCTCGAAATCGTCTCAATATTCCCCAACCTGAAAACATTGCGGTGTGGAACCCTTCCAGAAAACATTGTAGAATATTTTCTATCCGATAAGGCGTCAACTAGTGAAATTTCGGTGAGATTGCGAAATATGGGTACACCCATTTCGATTCAAAATCGATCCCTTTTTCTGACCAGGGTAGAATTTAAGGTCGGGTTGCTCAACAATTCGGCAAATTATGCCGTAATCCTTGCCATTTTTGCCGACCAGCTGGAAAAATTGAAACTTACCGCGGAATACAACCTGCCGCGGAAAGTATTTGATATGAATAATGCACAGGTACTCCTGACAATTACGTTCCCAGAGGTGTTACCAAGACTGAAATGTTTGGCAATTGGGATCCCTAAAAATTCTAGGTTTGGTTCTCCCGGTAGGAGAATGGTTCCCGGGCTTAATTTAAAATTTGGCGGGTATTCGACACAATTTCCCTCGTTGGAGAAATTGGTTTTGTCCAAGGTGGGGGAATGTGAGATAAGGTACAGGTCACAAGATGATGAGTTGGGGGAGCAAGAATGGTTTGAAGTCTGGGCGGGATTTTTGTCCAAATATTTCCTAAAAGGGGAGTGTCTAACGGTGAGAGATGTTCGGACTCCGTCACCTCCCGGGAAAAGGGTGGGGTTTAGATTGTTCCAAAAAGTGGGAGGGGCTCGGAATACTGATAATCTCGTTTGGGAGGTGGGAGACTATTCCGATTTTTATGAAAGGATTTCCACCACGTTTCCAAATTTGAGGTGGGAAACGTTTGAGGGGGTGAATTCTGAAAAGGGTGGCAGAATGGGTGCGGATCGGGTGCGAGTTGGGATTACTGGAGAAGAATGGGTTGAAGTTTAATGAATAGCGTTAACTACGATTTTTATGTTGGTTTTGATTTGTGCAGATTTATACGGCACAGAATTTTGTAATACTTTCTGGAATTATTTATTTATATAAATTACGGTAATGGAAATGCTTGATGATTCCATTCATGAATAATTATTTACAACTAAATACAGATAATACCAAGTTACATAGGATGCAAGAATTCCACTTTTGTATGGTTGGATTATGTGTAAATAAACTCGCCGTTACATAATTTTGTTCCAGAGGCAGGCTTCCAGCATGGCTGGGATTAAATTTGTTCAGAAAATATGCAGATTAGCTAAAAATCACATTTTACAAATATTTATTATCCAACAAGTTTTATTCCGAAATGTTGCAAGTTAAAAAAAAATTGGAATGGATTCATTACAATTTTAGAAAAACTAATTACACTCTAAAAAGCGTGGTTGCGATAATAACCAGAAAGTAAAAATGCATATATGACTTCACCGTCATGGTTAAAATTTTATCACCAACTTGTCATAAATCTATCACCACCGTTACAAATTTAACAACGGTGGCGATAAATATGTATGTATATGACTATTCCCTGACATATTTATGTATGTATAAGCATTAAGCATATCGACAGGGTCATAAATGGTTATAATCGTAACCGAATTTTTACCGAATACGACTCGAAATATTTATGCCATTAATTTTCAAATTCAGAAAAATATTTCCTATTTTCCTTTTTATGTATTTAATTCGAATTAACATTTATATTGCTCGACAGACAAAACATTCTTCCATTAAATATCTGGTAGCCCTGTGCATCCACATCGGGTGGGATGGACAGTGCACAATCGTGGAAGTCGCACTTTCCCTCCATCCGTGCTACGAGGCCTTTCCCAATCGGAGCTAAAGGCTCGAATGGCTCATCAATCTTCGTTTTCAAGGTGTTTCCACGAAGAAGAAGGAAACATATATCGTTCAGTAAAGTGTTCGGAGCGGTGGCGAATGCGCAACCCATTTTGATGCTGCGCATATCCATACCCTCAAAGTCATAGGGGAAACTAGAACATGAAGACAGTTTTCATAAGAATCAGCCACCTTGAAAACAACCACCCCAGGGGTTTACTTTGAAACCAACTACCCCGGGGTTTTATCTTGAAAACAAGTACCCCGGGGTTTTACCTTGAAATCAACTACCCCGGGGTTTTACTGGGTTTTCCTGGGTTTTACTCAATATTTGGGGTGAACTAACATAACTTGCGTACAATGTTACACTAACTTGTCAAATTAATGTATTTTATCAAGATTTATCAAGATAAATCTTGAATGAAAAACGTCCGAAAAACACTAATATAATTAAGCTCCAAGTCAAGCTGTAAATTGTGATTTTCACACCATCAGCAAAAATTCGAAATAAATATAGAAATGTACGGAATATTAATCAGAGAGCTTAATTCGAGTTGGATATACACCTGCAAACTGATTCTATTGATTTATGTATGTGTATACTTGAATCAGTTACAGAGTAGCCACTTGATGTGTATGTGCTTTTTTGAACGAGATTTTCTCCCCGCACTGCGGGGCAGGTTGAGATTTTCCGACGGGCCTATCAAAGTGGTTCGCAAATGCGAGCTAAACTACTCGTTTTAGGTAATACCTAAAAAATCCGAATAAAACCCATTGAAACCCCCGTGAAATCCCTTCAACATAGTACCTAGTAGTGCCATATGTTATGTACAATGCAAATAAAATTAGTTGGAGTTACTTTAGAGAGTTGTACTATTTTTTATTGGAATCCCCGTGCAATTTTCCATTAGAAACCATGTTTCGAAGTTTTTTGTAACCCAATGTGGCAAAATGATAGCTCGCCAAAAACAACAGGTTGCAATTTTTGAGCAACACTTTCGTAAACAAAAAAATTCGTCATATTTCAATTGATCAATAAAAATCTGAATTGGTCGCAAGATGGTCGACCGCACCACAAAATGATCCACTGACACTATCAGTGTTGATAACCTAAAAACAAGCCCAAGGGAAAGGTCAAACAGGTCACCAAAATTCATGACGGCGCGGAAAACTGAATTCGTCCGAATCCATGCCGGATCCAAAGAAAAATTCCTTCACAATTGAACGGATGAAGTAAAACTACGACCATGGCCCTTAAATTGAACCATGGACTTATGTCTTTAAGCTTTGAGGAGAAATCATGGTTAAGTGTACGCCAAGTAAAACTAGGCCCATAAGACGAAGGTTGCTGATCATGCGGTACGCGTTTGAAAAATGGAATTGCTCAGCTTTGATTAGTTGAGCATACTTTTGTGATTGAGGCCAAATAAAATAGCAAAAGGACCGTGCTGGCACACCATTAGTCCAGACTACTCACAAAAATTTCAAAAACGTTGATTGTATCCACCATCCTGCTTCTGTGAATTTTTTATTGGGCGTAAGTTGGATTTGGTAGAAAAAGTGATTTTTCTTCCTCTGAGGGTGAATTTTGGTGTCAAAAAGTATTTTCCTAAGTTCTCGAGCGAATTGTGGATCCCCTGAACCACTCCCAATTCAAAAACAAGCGATAGAAATTCAAGAAGACATCAAGTCCTGCTCGTGAACCCAAAATACGTATTTAGTGCTTGAAATAAAAAATTATCGACTTTTTTTCGGATCAAGAATAAAATTCGCTGTCGCTGAACCTCGACTTTCTGGACTATGACATATTACCCAACTTGGAGCCAGATGCATCTTTTAAACCCAATACAAGTTTGGAATCCGAGAAAAATTCTATCGTTACGAAATGGGACCCAGATCCCTTAGAACGCGTGCGTACCGCGGGTGAGACGCGGGCGCCAATACTTTGGGCTAGTTTCCCTTCGAAAAGAGGAAATCTTGAAAACTAGTCGGTCTATTTTGAAGAGAATTTAATGGGCTTTCTCGTGATATCCTTATTGTTTCAAAATTCAATAAACTTAGCCGGCTATATTAATTTCTACAGTGTACATAACATATGGCACCACCAGGTAAAACCCGCTGGGACGACTTCTCTTCAAAATATTTATAGTGTAACAATCATAAACGCACCTGAATTTGAGCCCTTGAGCCGCCTCGATTGGCTCGAGGGCCCCATCGACACAACCGAGTTGTTTTAAATGTAGGCCCCATTGCACCCTCCGCGGTGGGGGACGTTGAGACACGACACTCGAAATAACAGGATGGACGACTGCACTAAGAAAATGTCCCGCTTCTAATGTGACATTGATAGTGGGTGATGTATCATAAATCTTGGCGATTTTGTGGCCAAGGATGAAGGGCTGGGCGGCATTGTAGAGCTGACCGTTGGCCAGGACGGCGTAGTAGAGGGCTTTGTAACCCCAGAATTTCTGAGAAAAATTCAAAATTCGCACTTAAATTTCACCGGAATGGAAAATGCGCAGGGTAAGGAGAACCCCGAGGTTTTAAATATCCGATATCCACGGGTTATGTCTGGGTTTCTCGGGTATGTAGCCGGGGTAAGCTGAGATTTGGGGATAAATTCGCACCCTCTCATCACTTATCGGACCAGGCGGACATCATGATATTACAAATGGGTTTCCACCTCTTAATAAATAGCGTATGTAAATATAATCATTCAAAATTTGAGTTGAAAACTAATCATGTCGGCTAATCAATCTAATCGGCTTTAACACATGTACATATTTCTGCCACGTGGCTCTCTTGCGCAAAGCCTCAGACCACATGCACCAACGCCACGTGTATTTATTTAGATTCATTCGAATAAGATAATCGACAAAATTATGTGAAAAACAGCAAATTTGACTGTTTTCCATATAATTTGGTTGATTACCTTGCAATAAAGGGTTAACCCTTTAACTAGTAGCATTTTCTACAAGAAAATGCATTAACTCGGGAACGTTATAACTATGTTGTGATCATGGTGTGGGAGAAGGAATTCAGGAGTTTTAATAACATTCGAAAAAAACTGAGACATCCAAAATTTAACATTACGTTACATAGATTGGGAAATATCCAAATTTTTTGTAAGAAAATGTTCAAATTTAACATTTGGTTGGGATAGGAGAAATCCCCTAAATTCTCACAGATTCTACGGCGAGGCGAGAAAATTGTGAAACTGAATTGTCTTACTCTCGAATTAAACCATTTCTTACAAAACGACAATTGTTTAAAGGGTTAATGAAATTTGCATTTAAAGACATTGAATGGGTTGACGCATTATAAAAATTGTATGGAGTTACTCACATGTTGATCGTCGCTCAGTTGAGAGAAAAAGCTCAAAAAGTTGAGGAAATATTTGGTATCTTTCAAGATTTCGGGGTAGCCCAACGTCACAATGGTGGACATCACGGTGGAGGCGTTGCCCCGCTTGAAGACGCCGTGTTCGTAATGGAACACCGTTCCAGCATCCGGGCCGGAAATGATTCCGGAAACAATGTCTACAATTTGGCTCTCCTCGAGGGCACTTTCTACTTCGGCGATGGCCAATTTTAGGGAGAATAGCTTCACAGCCACGGCATCGAGGGAGGAAGTTAGTTGATCGATTTCCGGTTGAAGGGTGTCAGTAGCTAAAAGACAAAAAGTATTTATGTGCATACACTCTTAATACTCCGGTAAAGTCACGCAGGTAATGGTTTCTCGGTAATAGATTTGGTAATAATATTTTACCAGGTTGTAAAAATTTGTTACCATGATGGTAAAACTTTATTGCCAAGCCATTACCACAGGGTACAACTTCTTATGACCACTTTGGTAGAGTCGTATACTTGTGCTTTTCGGTAATGTTTATTACCAGATTATTTACAGGGTATTTATGTACATACCTAGATAATTTATTGAAATACACAATTATCTTAATTTACTAAACTGTTTTTTAACTGAGCGAAAAACGTTTCCTTACTTAAGTTGAAATTTCTTCAAAATATGTATCAGTAATGAAGTAGCTAAGTAAACATTCGTCAAAAAATTGGCACCTAACTCGTAATATAATTTCTTAAAAATGTATCCAGCAAGAAATGACAAATGTAAATAGAGTATTCAAATTTGCCGACATTAAAGGATTAAATTAGGGGATTAAAAACTCTAAAAAATCGCACAATTATTGAGATTAGTAGAAACTTTATGTTCTTTATAAATAAAAAAAAATATTGTTATGTAATTTTATTTAGTTCAAATTTAATTTAAAAATGTCACATAATTTAGCCTTACCTTGTTTGGCCGCGTTGTCCAGGGCAGTGTTCAAGGCTGCCATTTTCGTTTGCATGACGGCCACGGCAGCCCGAAGTTTGTCCAGGTCACTGGTCGGATCCATGCCAGCGATTTTTGCCTCCAACTCATCAATATCCTTTTTCAACTCGTTAATCTGTTTCTGAACGGCGTCATTTGGATTGGGCGGGTTAAAACCGGAAAGGGAACTGGAGATTTATTAAAAATTTACTAACAATGCGATGACGCCAGCAGTCTCGCTCCGATTTTCATGAAATAACGATAATTATTTAGCCTTACATAAATAATTGAACACATATTTCGGGATTTTTCATAATGCTCGGTTTAAACAAAGTTATGATGGTATAAGCGGAAGAAAATTCGCATTTTTCTGGTGAAGTTTTTCTTTTTTCTTGTTTTTGAGGGAGAAAAATGCGATTTTTGGGCCACTTATACCATCATAATTTTGTTTAAACCGAGCATTATGAAAAATCCCGAAACATGTGTTAAATTATTTATGTAAGGCTAAATAATTATCGTTATTTCATTAAAATCGGAGCTAGACCGCTGGCGTCGTAGGTTTTACATATTTTTTTTTGGGGGGGGGGAGGAATTAAGGTTTCAATAGGGAATTATCTACCTTGCTGTGTGTGCCCACCGAGTCGCTGACAATTTCATGGAAATTCGGGTCACGGCGCGATTCATCTTTGCGTCAAAATCGTCACAAAAGGTGGCATTGTTCGGAAATTCCTGCCAAACGGCCCACCTTGGTCCCGATGTATTTCTCTCGTTAGGGCTGAAATTCGTTTTACATACTTATTTATTAATTATCCTAGTACGAATTACGAATGAGCATTAATTATTAATATTTTCTTGTTTAATAATCAAAGTTGTTATACATAGGTCCAAAAATTTCTTAAGGTTGCATATGTAGAGCGACGATTAATAAATTTTTAATCTCGCTCTACCAGATTCAATGCGTTTAATACAAATTTCTATAGTGACCTCAATTTCATGAGGTTAGAGATAAATACAACTTTTCATGTACTTTTTATTTACTGTAAAATTAATTTCCGGTACTGCAAAACTATGATGGTACAAAAAGAAAGTATCAAATATATTTTTGCGGAACTTTACATACTGTGAAACAATGTATGTAGGTATTCACGTCACAAAAAAACGTCGCTTCGCAAAACATCTTCACAACTTAGCGGTGTTTGCGAAATCGGTGTCGTGAACGACTTATTTTACATGAAAATGTGTAAATTAATTATTTGCAAAAACTAATTCATTTGGCGAAAAAGTGTAAGGTTGTCTGGCAACATTTCCAAAAATGAAGAGAAATTAAAATTTCACTTCACAACGAGTTTGCGAAAAATAGTTTACCACGATAATAGATGCCCTTTTGCTTCGCAAGCTTCGTAAAAAAATAAAACAATCTGATTGGTTCTCGCATCGCAACTCTTCGCAAACATCGCAAAGTTGCGAAGATATGTTGCGAAGCGACGTTTACGGCTTTTACGAAATTGACGTGAATACCCACAATATTTGGTTTAAATTAATTAACTTCTCGAACTCATTAAGTTCATGCCACGCTTAAAATTTGCACTTGAAAAGGAGTAGAGTGAGATTTAAAATCTAAATGTGACGGACATCTTCCACCTTAGCTTACATACATACGTGTAAATATGTACAGTGTCGGACAGATGTCTACGTCCACATAGTCGCGTCAATTTCATTTTCAAATTGTCACTGAACTACTGAACCAATTTTCATCATTGATATATCAAATTCTCACAAATTTAACGTAATTTCATAAAACATATGAGTTATTTCTGAAAATTCTGGGAAAACTGAGAATCATAGTGCAGAGCGAGAGAGGATGAAATTTGAGCGGACAAAAGTCTACGTCCACTTCACTTTAATTGTCAACAACAAAAATCTCTCCAATTTATAAAATCAGGTAACTTAATAAATCTATCAATAACATATGCCGCATTAATTTTTAAATAATTTTCTTCCAGAAAAATATGATGGCGTCGACACGCAAGGAAATTCCTATCGCTATTCGAGATCTTGTCATTCAGGACTGGAAGGGTGGACAAAAAGGGGGGCTGTCGCAGAGACAAATAGGGACCAAGTATAAATTAGCAAGGACAACCATCCAGACAATCATTAAGAACTTTAGAGCTAATGGTTCAGTCCAAAACAAGGTCAGAAGTGGTCGAAAACCGATTTTGGCTCACCGAGAAGTACGCCACGTGCTCAACAAAGTCAACGTTACACCCTCACTTAGTGCTCCAAAGCTATCTACCGAGATCAAGGAGATGTTCGGCAAACAGGTTAGTCCTATGACCATCCAAAGAACACTGAATAAGGGAAATTTGAAATCCCACAGAGCAGTCCGGAAGCCTCTTATTGTACCGAGGAATGCAACCAAACGAGTGAAGTTTGCCAGAGACCACATTTCCAAGCCACAAACATTCTGGGACATATTTTATGGGCTGACGAGTCAAAGTTCAATGTCTTTAGGGCCAGATGGGCGTCGTAGAGTGTGGAGATATCCAAGAGAAGCTTTGAATCCAAAAAATCTCAACCCCACAGTTAAGCACGGCGGCGGGTCGGTAATGGTGTGGGGATGCATGGCTTCAAGTGGGGCAGGAAAAATGGAATTTGTTGACGGAATTATGGACCAATACAAGTACCAGGGAATACTTGACCGTAATATCCAGGAATCTGTTCGAAAACTTGGACTTGGACGACGATTTGCCTTCCAACAAGACAACGATCCGAAACACTGCCACGTCCACCATGGAATACTTCAAGAAAAAAAAATTCCGAAGCTAGAATGGCCTCCCCAATCTCCAGACTTGAATCCCATTGAGCATCTGTGGGACCACATTGAAAGAGAAATAAGAAAAAAATCTTTTTCAGGAATTCCGGGCCTAAAATCCAGAATTCGTGAAGTTTGGGAAACCATTTCTGAAGATGTGACCAAGAATTTGGTAAACTCTATGACTCGACGCCTTGAAGCCGTCCTTAAAGCGAACGGAGGCCCAACCAAATATTAAAAATTAATTGTTATAACATTCCTTATAAATTACAGTTTTTTTTGTATGTTTTCTCTGACTGGACGTTGATTTTTGTCCATCCAATTGTTTTCATTTTGAATTAAAATACATCTCTGGCCTAAAATAAATTTTTTAGCGGAAAACTAATAATGTGCTATGAAATTACGTTAAATTTGTGAGAATTTGATATATCAATGATGAAAATTGGTTCAGTAGTTCAGTGACAATTTGAAAATGAAATTGACGCGACTATGTGGACGTAGACATCTGTCCGACACTGTACATACCTCGTTAAAATAGTGGCAGCATTCTCGGGCTGGCCAGTCCATGAAAGTAGAGCCGTGGCGATCGCATGAAAATAAAATCCGGCCACACCCCCCAACATTTTTGGCTAAATAATAATTTCGCTATTTTCCTGAGCTTAAGGTGCTAAACGATGATGTGTTGATGTGCCATTGATTTTTTGTCTCACCCTGCCCACCCAATTTATTCAATAACCTTATTTCTAAATTTGATATAATTTCACAAATTTTAAATTTAAGTGTTTTATTTAGTTAAATTTAAAAACAAATTTTCATACTAACAAAGGGTGGGGTTGAAGCTAAAATAATTACTTATTTTTGGTGGCTGTTTATTTCAAAACAAATGGTAAATAAATAAATAAACCAATTTTTTAATTGAAAATGAACTTTAAAATTAAAAATTAAAAATTAAAAAAAAAATTAAAAATGAACTTTAAAAAAGAATTTTAAAAATATTGAATTCAAATGAGGCAGGGTGAGACGAAAAATCAATGCGTATGTAACCTTATACGAGATGATATTATGTTGTCGGCTCAAATTGTGAATAAAAACTGAGACATGAACCGACGTTCGTGGGGCCGTATTTATTGAGAATTTATACCAACCTCATCATTTCCTCGGATAAATACGCACAAAATTGTTTGGGAAATAAATGGAAATGAGTGGACAAAAAACAACCTCACTTTTGTCAAAAAATGCAAGCAAGCTTTCTTAACGTCGGCAAGAGTGAGTTAGATAAATGATGGAATTATTTGAGAAATAAATACGCATTGGTACTCCTTATCCGGTCAGTTGAGTGATAAGCAAATTAAGTTAACTGTTGGGTCTAGTTTTCTGCTGACTCCTTAACCATTTAAAGAGGACAAGTAAAAGTCAAGATGTCCATAATTCGTGTCACCAGGCGACAGTAGAGTTACCTTAATTCGTGAGGGAGCTTTATTTCTAAGGGATCATTATTCGTAACCAAAAATGCCAGTCAAATATGTTACTCCGTGACAACATTTTCATAAAAAATTTTAATTTTTAGCCCGACCCAAGGCTTATGTACCCGTGTTGTCCATCTGTACAATGATAACTCTTTTTAAAATTATCCGATCGACTTGATATTTTCCACACATACACTCAAAACAAAATCGCTAAAAAATCGCTACCGGGCGGTGTCTATATATGACCTCACCGATTTGGTAAGAATTTGCTACCAGATAGTAGGAAAACGCTTTCACTCCGCGTTAGTAGCAATTTGACACAAAATTGTAGAAAACTCACTTCATTTCGTAACGTAGCAATGCAGATGATTTAGTCAGTTCCCTACCGTTTAGTAGCAGATTCTTACTCTCTGGATGCATTATTGCTACCATATTATGTGAAATTGCCACAACTAGGTGACAAATAAAGCATTCACGGTAGCAAATTTTAGTAACGATTTATTTATTTCGTTATTAGTATATTATAATAAAATGATTTAAATACATATTGACTTACATATGACCAATACTTAATAATATTTGGTGAAAATTATCAGCCTTAATTTTTTGTACCTGCCTAAATCCAATTTCAATTGTATTTGTAGTTCGTAAAAGCGCCCGAGATATCTTGAGAATCTACAATTACCAAAAAGTCAACTTACGTCATAAATTTTAAAATACAAAATAAGCTAATAAGTACAACTAAAATTTGCAGTAACTTATAGGAGAAATAATTTTTTCGTTGTCCTCCAAAGTAACCTCGGTTTGTACTTGTCCTTCTCCAGTGACAATGTTCATAAGTATTTGGCGAGATCTATTGGTGAATTAAGGTTGAGAAGTATTTACAAAAATGTTCAAAATTACATAACAAAATATTTAAATTTGTTACAATAGTTGACCTTACCTGAATCCCAGAAATCAAAATAATCCCAACCGATGACAATTAATTAATTTGACACGAATTGAGCTCCATTGGTGCAGCTGTATAAAAATAAACTAACTGCCAACGAGACGAAAAGTCGCGCTATGATTCTTACCACGCTGTGTGAATCTAACACAGTGCGGTAAAAATCTGACAAACTATTTGTGTGGAAATCGCTACGACCCCCAACAACAGAATAGACATAAAATTGTAAAGATTTTATAAAGTTAAATGCTATAATGCGGAGAAGATTTCTTACCAGATTTTGTTAAACTTGCTATAATTAGGTTAGAAACGTATTTATTTTTACGGTGGCAATTCTTAACCGGCCCCGTGTCAATTTTGGAGTCAATTTTAACACAATTACGGTAAGAATAGCCGCTACTACAGCCCGGTAGCAATAAAATTTAAGTTTTTGCTGCCACTTTGCTTAGAGTGTATAGACCATCCAAATACACAACTCGAGTTCGAAGACTGGTTCGATCGGTCAAGTGGTTGGCCGGTATGGGTCATATGGGTGTTGGGGGTCAAGGGTAACGAAAATTAAAAATTTGCGTGAAAGTTTATAATGACTAGCAATGGAAGAATATAACGTAGAATTAAATAGATTTTTATCTTGAGGTACCCTATAGGGTTAATGTTAATCCTAAGTTATTTCTCGACTCCATACTAAATTATTTCAGCTAATCAGCTGAAATAATTTAGTATGGAGTCGAGAAATATCAATTTTAAGAAATCGGTGTGGACCACCCCCTAGTGTCACTCTGCAAATTTGTGTTCATATTTAACTTCCTATTATTTCATGAGAAGGCAGTAAAGATCTCTGGTCCTAATTTCAGCTTTCCATGTTAATCCCTGAAAATTGGTGGGGGTCACCCCATAGGGTCCTTCCAGATGAAAATTTTCCAGATTCCAATGTATATTCTTCCATGAAGAGCGATAAGAAAACTAAATGCCAAATTTCAGAACGATATGACGATTTTGAAAAATCAGTATGGGTTAGTGGGTCACCCACCCTTCCAGATGAAAATTCTACCAATTTCATTTCATATTCTTCCTTTAGGCCCCATAAGCAACCTATCCACCAAATTTAAGTTAGATACGACGACTTTGAAAAATCGGTAGGGGTCACCCCATAGGGTCCCTCAAGATAAATTTTTCGAATTTGAGTTCATATCCTTCCTTTAGGACCCATTTACTCCTCTGCACCAAATTTGAGCTTTCTACGACAATTTCGAAATTTTGGTGCATAATTCCCAACCACCCAGATGACCCCTACGGGTCAACCAGTGGACCGATTTTGCCCATCTTCGAACTCGGTTCCTAACTTTGTCCAATATGCATCTGGTAAAAATTTCAAGTCAATCGGCCAACTCGGGACGGACGGACGGACGGACGGACATGACAATTACATAAGCCCTGGTTCGGGCTAAAAACAAATGTCGACGTCACGAATTATGGCGAATTTGCCAGGGAACGACAAACGTCTACGTCACGAATTAAGGTAAGGTTTTCTGTGGCAACATATGTCGTCGTCACGGGTTATGGAGCGGATTTTGACGATGACATATGCCTTTGTCACGAATTATGGACAAGTCGCCAAAGCGACATATGCCACTTTCACAGATTAAATGGTTAACCTTGCTTTAACATACATATTTATTGAATTAACTCGTTCATTGATTCATTTATCCAATGTGTAAAGTCTGCAAAAATTATTGTGTGCATGACACCAAAATAATTTGTGGGTCTTCGAGTCCGTCAAACTTTGATCAACCTAATTAAATCATGCTGCCTTGAAACTACTTGCGAAGCAATTTAAGCAATTTTGAGATAAATTCATATATTAATCCCGCAATGTTAAGTTTACTTAGAAAACTATTAGGTTTAAAAAAATAATATACTTTAAATGGGGTTTATGTATGACGACTCCTTGATTTGTCAATGAGCAAAGAATTACACAGTACTTTTTTGGTGAGAACCAAATTATCAAAATTTCTGTGATTTAAAAAAAAATTTGAAACCTGAAATTTCGATGCAACTCGAAGAAGCTGTCGTTCGTGAATCCAAAACATCTCCAATTTTGAAAAAGTACTCATCGGTTTATTTTCAAAGGATTTCCCCGAAGGACCCTCATCGAAGGCAGATTGGGGTTACTCGTCACCCAAACAATTTTGTCTCAACAACGTTTTTCGACAAGTGTGACCTATCGCTATATTGAAAGTTTAGTTTAAAAATAGTCGTTGGATGGCGTTGTCGAATCATATAATTCTGACTCCTGAATAACGTGTGTTTGGTATACGAATTTGTACCTGTTGTGCTATTAGCGACAATACATACGTCTCGTAAATCACTAAGTAGAGCACTATAGTACCTCCGCAGGATGACGATTTGAATTCAAATTCTTTAGAGTGAATTGTTTAAGGTCAGAATGTGAACTATAGATTTTCGGGTGATTTTTGATTAAAAGTCATACCTAATCTACATTAAATTTATGTAATACATAATTTATTGATGACAAGGTTGTCATGTACATAATCGTTTAGCTTAACAATTATACATTTTTCGTAACTTGGAAATGTCACTGTCCGTGAGGGCGTTGCGTTGACTGTTTATGATCGAACCGTCCTAAATTAAGCAGAGAAAAAAACTTTTTAGTTTGTTTTTAATAATTTGCAGTGCACTCTTAAAAATGATTTAGCCTATTTGAAAAATTAAACGCACTAAATAAGTTTAATACATATCTATGTATACTAAATCCAGACTAAAGTTAATTTGATAAAGAGTTTAGTACAGTATTAGTACAGTTTACTTAATTTACACTCTAGGAAACCCGTTATTACCAGGCGGAGTGTCTATGTGACTCTACCGCATGGTAATTTATTTATTATTGAGTGGTAGACATTTTGTTACAAACTGGTAATATTTACAAATTTCACGACCAGGGTTATTGCCGGTTTGGTAACAAAATGTCTACCACTCAATAATAAATTAATTACCATGTGGTAGTGTCACATAGATACTCCGCCTGGTAATAACTTAGTTACCGGGTTTCTTAGAGTGTAGAATCCAGATTGACATACTTTTCAAAAGGGTAACACTATTTTTAAGAGTGCGGGTATATGTTTGCCTACCTTCTTCCGCATGGTGGGATTTCCGTACTTGGAGAAATCGTAGGAACCATAGTGCATAATTGATTGCGTGTCATATGGAACTCCAAAGGTTAACGAGCCCGAGTAAACTTTATACTGGTACTGCGCATCTGTTGAAAAGAACAAAAATGGATTATTTACTTGGTATATTTCCAAAAATTAAATGATCTACATATTTCTAGTAAAAAAACGTTTGCAAAGAATTACAACAATTGATTTTTTGCAGGCAAACCAAAACATACAACCAGATAGGGCCATTAGGGATAATAGTCAGATAGGGATAATCCATTTTTTCTAAAATACAAGGGGTGTTCCCAATCGTTTGAATGTCTTGCACCTTGCATTTTCTAGCAGTGCATGATAAAAAAATGAGGAAGAAGTGCAAAAAATTAAGCACGTGATAAGTTTGCCGCCAATTTTGCCATTAGGTCCTCAACACGGATGGCTTATCAGCAAGATAATTAATTGACTTACTTCCATCCTCGATTTGGTCGGGATAAATGGTAATGAAGTTGTCTCTGTCGGGCCGGGTTTGCTCGTGGTTGAAGCCCATCGCGTGGATATTCTCGTGCATGATTATCCCCTTGGTAACGCAACCGTTCTCCTGAAGGTTGATTACTTGTCGGCCACCCTCTGTATTTTTTTTAGAGATTTTTAATATTATAATGGGGAACGGGGAAAAAAATTTACTAAAACTTAACCAAACTAACAAAATCTTTGGTAACACTAGGTTGTTTTTTTATTTTGAGGGTATTCATTGCATTATGGTATTCTTAGTATGGTGAAATAGTTAACGAAAAAAGAAGTCGTAAAGTTTGGTAAACATCGTAAAATTTTTGATGACCAAATCTTACACCAAACTTCAAAATCCCGTAAACGATTTTATGATACGAAGAAATAATGAATACCCTCATTTTAATTGTGAAGAGGCAACAAATTCAGCAGAAATTAAACAATGGTATTACATAATTTTGGCATTACCACATTGGTAATGAAATGGTTAATAAATAAATGGGACCATATAGTTGCATAAAAAAATTCTACCGATTTGAATTTAGTGGACAAATAGCCACAAAGAAAATAATGCGGCTATCCACTTTTAGCCAATTTTAGCATAAAAATTTGCATATACGTCGTCCAACTCCGGTGGAATAGCAGCCCGTTCGGTCCCCGCCTTTTTGAATGTAGACAAAATCGCCATAAGCGGGCGCGCCGGTAGCAAATTTTCGGATCGGGATGCAAATCTTGCTGCTAAGTTCGTACAACGCGCCTTCAATAAGTTGGGCTTGTTCGGTGTCTGAAAATATTTAGGAGAAAATGGGGTTAAGTGAGAAAAAATGAGATTTTCTTAGTGTTTATTTACTCCATTCTGGGGAAAGTTGAACCACGTAGCCGTTTCTCCAGCGGGACATCTCGTTCGGGTTGCCAGACAGGGATGAGATTCGGTCAGAATCGTTGGTTTTACATTGTCCTACAAGACCGCCGGGGTTAAGACGTTGTTCTGAAAGGGGAGATTTTTGAATTAGAAAAGTTTGGATTGCACGTTTTTGGGCAAAATTTTGAAATTATTTAAGTAGAAAAAATTCATTTAGTTTGCAATCTCATAAATAAACAAAATAAAATAAAATATCAAAATAAGTTTCTGAGGGAAGATTTGCAAAATTATAATTTGCAAATGCCCTCACGATACAAACTCTTTGAGCTTATGTAGCAAGTTCCCTAAATATGTATTTAGAGAAGTTAGGTGTTGCCATGAATTGTCTCGTAAATTTGCAAATTTCCCAAAAACCTTTACAAACCTAGGATGTTGAGGGCAACCGGTGATTTTTTAACCTCAACTGGACCACTAGCCGGGGCAGAGTGACATTCCGCAGCAAAAACTAGCAGCACTAAAGTTCCCGAAAAAAAGCGCAACATTTTACTCAATACAAATTCCAGTTCGGGTAAGTGAATGTATGCAAAACTGAATAATTATGCATAAAGTAGGACGGCACAATTTTATACCTGAATTTATTGTATCAATAAAAAAGTCATAGATGATTTATGGATTCCACATATGCTAAATTGGGTCCGAGAATTGAGCACGCACCTTCCACTAATTCCGGAAATATGCGAAATTAAATATGTATGTACAAAATAATTAACTGTTTTGCGAATTTTATTGGCCTCATGACCACAAGCGAGTTACAAATAGTGTAATTTATCCACGCGCAGAAGGCAATTAGTTAGGCAATTAGCTGTACAATTGGTTCGACATGGGCAGCTAATTTGCTAGGACATGTACACTCTTAATAATTCGGTAAAGTCACGCAGGTAATGATTTCTCGGTAATAAATTTCGTAATAATGCTTTACCAGGTAGCAAAAATTTGTTACCATGAGGTTAAAACTTAATTACCAAGCCATATGTTACATATGTACTATACATACATATGTAAGGCTGCATATTTAAGTTTATTTGGTACATGCATATTTGATGGTTAATCCGGTATCCTATTTGAAAATTAAGCAGTCATCCTAAATAAATTTTTAAGTGTGGAGATTCGAGAGAAAAAAAGAAATTATGTAGGTATTGTATTATTAAAATTGATTGGGTAATTTTTTCATCAGGTTCAGAAAACGAATACATAAATACGTTTTTGTTATTAAGACGATACATATATATAAATAAATACGACAAAATAGGCGGAATTAGATTTGGGAGGAAGGATTTAAATTGTTGGGCAATTTCATGACACTTTTTTGTGATGAAACTCGTTTTTATGAGTGCATAATTTCAACCAAAAAAAAGATACTTTTTTGTAGCTTTCAGTACCTACAGTTTTACAGAGGACAACCTTTTTCTCTGCATGGTTGCTGTCCCTTAAGTATGTGCTGAAATTACTTACACATTTTACACCCAAATTTAAATATGATACATGAGAAAAGTAAACTAAAACCTTCGTACACAAATAAATTCCTAAACCCTGTGCATACACCTTAAATCGTATAAATTTAAGGTCTACAAGCTCGTATTCGACCCTTTTTCCACTCACTTGTGAAGAAATATGCACATTAAGTATGTGCTTGAAGTAATCAACCATTGAAATTTTCTTTAAAAAAATATAGTAATTTTCTTCTGAATTATTATTGTTAACCGGAAATCTCGAAAGGTAAAACTAGTTCAAAAACCATTTTTTTTACACATGTGCATTGTTTCCGTCTTAACTTGCAGGTTTTGTGAGGCGAAAATTTGAGAAAGGAAATAAATAAGTTGTCATAAAAATTTTCAATTTTTACGAATAGACCGTCATGGAATCATTCTGAAATGGAATTGGAATCAAAACGTTGTCCCATTAAGGGCCCACACCTGGCCGTTACGTTACCAGAAGTAATGTTTTTAAAAGAAATCTGGGTTTAATTACTTAAAAGATTTCTGCAATTTTCAAATTTCCCTTGCTCCCCAATTTCCAGATTTTACGTGAAATAGTGTCATTCCTTCCGAACCACGACCTTTGCCAGAACGTCACCCTCGTTTCCCGCGGATGGGAACAAATTTCTCGAAAACAGCTCGTCTCTCGAGTCATGATTAACCTCACCCCGACAAATATGGCGGGCTACCTTGAACTAGGGTTGCCGCGGGTAACGGGTCGGGTACCCGTTACCCGCATACCCGCACGATTCTTGCGGGTACCCGTTTTCTGCGGGTAGCGAGAACTACCCGCACGGGTAACGGGTAGTTCTGTTTTTATTTAATTCTCGACATATATCAGTTCACAAAGAAAGCTAGCAGCAAGTTAGTCCATTTATCAACAAAAGCGTCAATTTATTATTTATCTATTTCAAAATTTGCTATTTTCCAGCAACTAGGGTTTATAGCGTGCGTGTCTTTTCGGAAGCCACGGAAGCCTATGGCAGCCTGATATGCTTTTCACGTCCCTAAAATGAAATTATTGTTTCTCAAGTAAAATTTGCCTGCTCTAAAATCTGAGTAACAATTTGACTTGTATTTATTTATGTATTTATTTGTATTTATTTTGTATTTATTTATTTGTGTAAGACTGACGAGATTTTAATTTGTTCGTTGAAGATGAAAAACCTGAATCCGATTGAAGGCTAAAATTTTATTTGTAGATATTTTTAAAATGAAAACTTACATTTAAATCAAAATTCCAAAAAAAATCTAACTAAAAGTTGAACCTTTCTTCAAGCTACACCAAGATTATCTAGAGAGTATATTAAAAAGTCAAGCCAAAAATTAGGAATCACATGATACTTTCCGTTGAATGTCCACTTTAAATAAAAATATTGGAGGCAAAGTTCGATTTTTAAGTAAATGTTCAGCATCTTATTCCTCCACTGGACGAAAATCATGGTGGACTTTGAACTCTGATCCAAATAGTTTCCTACGGGCTATTCAAGGGAAAGATTAGTGATAATTCCTAATTTTTAACTTGATTTTTTGATATCATTCGTTAAGAAATCCCGATGTAGTTTGAAAAACGTTCCATTGCAAGTCAAAAAGTTTGGTTTCAGAACAACTGCGGATATTTCCATAGCAATTTACGGCATTCGTTACTTGCGTAGCATTATCTGAAATTACATATCAACCCAAATGAGCCAATTAATTAAATGGAATTTATTCTTAAGGCTGGTTAGGTTTTAAGTCAATTTTCATTACGGGTAGCGGGTAACGGGTACCCGCACGGGTACGGGTAGTTGTGCTGCGGGTAGCGGGTCGGGTAACGGGTAGCATTTTCGCTACCCGCGGCAACCCTACCTTGAACTGACCAAGATTCGAGGCAATCACCATAAACACGTGTTCCTGTCCTATTTCAATTTCGAAAATTTATCCCCCGAGGAGTCCAATCTGTTAAAAAGTTTCACCTCCACCGCGACCTCACCCATTACCGCGTTACGCTTGGATTACTTCCCCCACGGAGCTATCCATCCCCACGTGGTCTCACTATTCTCACATTGCCCCAAGTTAGAATCTGTCTCCTTCTCCCCAAGGTGTTTTAAAATTCAAACGATCAAAATTTTCCACCCAAAAAGTGTAAGTTTCCCAAAAGTTGAAACTTTCGAGATCTTTATGACGCCAGACTATTCCGACTTCGACGAATTTATGAACTCCTTACGTTTGACAGATTTCCTCGAAATCGTCTCAATATTCCCGAACCTGAAAATATTGCGGTGTGGAACCCTTTCACAAAACATTGTAGAGTATTTTCTATCCGATAAGGCGTCAATTGAGACACTTTCAATGACCCTGTGTAATACAGGGCCAGCCCTGACGATTCCAAAAAGGTCCCTTTTTCTTACCAGGATTCAATTTCGGGTCGGATTAACCAACTCGACAAATTATAACGTAATCCTTGCCATTTTTGCCGACCAGCTGGAAAAATTGAAACTTACTGCGGAATACAACCTCCCGCGGAAAGTATTTGATTGTATAATGCCCAGCTACTATTGAAAATTGCGTTGCCAGAGGTGTTACCAAGACTGAAATATTTGGAAATTGGGATCACTAAAAATTCAAGGTTTGGTTCGCCCGGTCAAAAAAAAATGTTTCCTGGGCTTAATTTAAACTTTGGCGGATATTTGACACAATTTCCCGCCTTGGAGAAATTAGTCGTTTCGAAGGTGAGGCAATGTGAGACGAGGTACAGGTCACAAGATGAGGAGCTGGGGGAGCAAGAATGGTTTGAAGTTTGGGCGGGATTTTTGGCCAAATATTTCCTAAAAGGGGAGTGTCTAACGGTGAGAGATGTTCGGATTCCGTCACCTCCTGGGAAAAGGGTGGGGTTTAAATTGTTCAAAAAAGTGGGAGGTGCTCGGAATTCTGATAATCTCGTTTGGGAGGTGGGAGACTATACCGATTTTTTCGAAAGGATTTCCAACACGTTTCCTAATTTGAGGTGGGAAACGTTTGAGGGGGTGAATTCTGAAAGGGTGGAAGAGTGGGTACGGATCGGGTGCGAGATGGGATTGATGGAGAAGAACGTGTTGAAGTTGGATGAATAAAGTTAAGTAGGATTTTGATTTGTGTAGATGTAATACTTTTTGGAATTATTTATATAAGTAACGAAATTACGGTAATAAAAATGTTTAATGATTCCATTCATGAATAATTATTCACTACTAAATACAATAATATCAATTTACACTTTCTCAAATACTCAAATTGGAATTCATATCTCATCATAATATCATATTGCGAAATATGCCTTGGTAATTTTCAACCAAAAGTTTTAAGAAGAAGTATAACTTTTCGGATTTGTGCAATATTTCAAGCAATCTGCCTGATTATAATATTCGAGGTTTATTCTAAAATATAATTTACGTCGTTTTTTGAATTCTTTCAACTCTTTGAATAATATAAAATTTTAAGACCCAACAAAATCTTTAACTACGGTGGCTGTTTACGTGGACGTACATAGGATTAAACGCACCATAAATAACTAATATTTCTAAACAAAAGCAGGAATTAATTTTAAGCATTCATGTTGATTACTTTGTTTAAATGGCGTCAAAATTGGAAGACCAATATGGTTTAAATACATAATTCAAAAAATTTTGTTAAAACTCCGGTATTTAGAATTAAAAACCAGTTTCGGGTTTCTTCGAGAACTGTTTTCCTCTGGTTTCGGTGTTGAATCCATTACTTCGATGGTCTTCCTTTGTTTTGATATAAAAAGTCATCCCGAACATTTTATGTATGTAATTCGGCATAACAATGCCTTTTAGAAAAGCTCCAATGCACTCTAAAGAAATTGCGAAAATGTACCCTAGGTTGATAAAATAAGAAAATTATAGTAATTCGGTAGAATTTGCCAATCCTTGTGTAAATTTATCCCCCTTTGTGAAAAATATATTTAGCGGCTGTTAATTTTTCCTAAAACCGTTGGGTAACGTTTAGCCAATTGTTGTCGCACATCGGAATACTCGCGATGAGTTGTTCGAACTTTATTAGAATAAAAAAACTCAAGGCAAAGATGTTTGAATCTTCCTACTGGAAAATTCAATTATTTAGTGTAAACCGGGGCGCCTAGGAGCCTCCAGGATTGCCCACCCCTAACTCGGGGCCTGGCTCCCAGAGGATTGGTTACAATAAAATAAAATGAAATGTGTTTGGGTTACATTTTGTTTAAATTTATTACAAAGGATTTATTCATATTCTTAGAGCTTTGTAGGCTTTATGATCATCTCGAGATTAGCACATTTTATATGTTAAGATTAAAATGCTATTTTGCACAGAGCAAGTGGAATGCACTCGAAAAACTGAAAATGAAAGATTAGCATAAATTAGTGTATTTAATCCATCTATTACAAATTACAATCCCGGTGGTGATGACAAATTTATACGAAATCCAATTTCATTTTGCCCCTCCCGCAATCGAGTCACGCTTGGTCCAATGAGCGTAAATTGTTGCTTAATCGAATCTTTCGTTCCTGAAATTATGACTTGTTTTCCATCCTGTTCTATAATTTTTATCGATCCTGGATCCAATCCTGTCTCATTCATCGCAACATCAACCACTCCTTGACCCAGGATCCGCTTAAAATTAAAAATTCCTAGGGTATAATCTTCCCCCACAATTTTAGTGTCCCCTTCTGAAGAGACGGAATAACTGATGGAATTCCCTGTCCTGGAGCTCCCACGAATAAGTGAGGCAAAAAATCCCCGTGGCCTTGCTTCCACCATGTTGGTAACTTTGAAAATGTTTTTTCCTCTAAAAAAAATAGACCCTTCAGTTACCTCAAATTCAACCAAGTTTCAAAAATACCTTGATAAAACATGATTTGCTTTCCCTTCCACATAAATCTTGTTATTGTCACCCTCAATTTTTAAGTTTGTATTGTCCTTGGCAAAAACATCGTTCCCAGATCCGGATATTTTGGCGTTACTGTTCCCCTCAAAATTGGTAATGCTTTTGTTACAGTAATGTTTCAAATTGTTGTTCCCGTTCAGAATGGAGTTATTACAGTTCCCTTCAAATTGTAGGTTGTTATTCGCAGCGCCGACCAAAGTATTTGTGTCACCCGTTACACTCCCATTTGCAACGGAGGTCATGTCAAGGGCAGAGTTTGTCGAGTTGATTTTTAAATTGGAGTTGCCAATCAGATGCAACGCGCAGTTGGAGCAATTCAGAGAAATGCTGTTGTTACTTTCGACAGTGCCTCGATTTTTTTCCCCGACTGCTTTTAAATTCAAGTTATTTTTCGATATAATTCCACCCAAGGTATCAAGTACATTTTGAAGCATTTTGGGAAATAAGAATTATAGAATTGTCGAATTTAAAAGGTGTAAAATGATGGACTGGCAGCAACTGACTCAACTGCAGGCTGAGTTAAGTTGGCAGGAGGGTTTTATTTTAAACGATTTTATATAACCTTGTGTTTTATAATGTTTGATAATTAAGTAGATAACCTATCCGTCAAGGACAGTATCTCTGTTGCGAAGTTGCTGCGAAGTTGGTAATTTACAAAGTCAGGTGAGTTCAAGAGCTTAGTCGATGTAATTTGGCTTCACGTTATCACATCAATTGATTGGCACCACAGGTGAGGTGAGTGACCTTCTCCAAAATCTTTCCTCCCAATGTTCAATTTACGCAGTCAGCTAAATAAACGCAAAAGAAATTAACCCTAATAAGTATCTCTCATACTATTAATAGGCGACACATCATGGAAAATTTTGTTCATAATAAACTGTGGCAAACATAGATACAGTCAAGAGCAAAACTTTACGACATATGGAAGAGACTTTTGGGACATCTTATTCAAATGGGGAATTAAAGGCCGTAAAGTTTTGCACCGCGTACCTTTCCGAATTATTTTTTAACGCTGTGATATAATTTTTATTGAATAAAGCGTGCAAAAGTAGGGGGTGACGTGGTAAATTATTTTTGTCGCCGAATTTTTTTCAAGGAACTACAAGGAATTGAAAGAATTAATTTTGGAAGAGACTTTTGGGACAACACATTGTGCTTATAGCTGTCCCAAAAGTCTCTTCCAAAATTAATTCTTTCAATTCCTTGTAGTTCCTTGAAAAAAATTCGGCGACAAAAATAATTTACCACGTCACCCCTACTTTTGCACGCTTTATTCAATAAAAATTATATCACAGCGTTAAAAAAATTATTCGGAAAGGTACGCGGTGCAAAACTTTACGGCCTTTAATTCCCCATTTGAATAAGATGTCCCAAAAGTCTCTTCCATATGTCGTAAAGTTTTGCTCTTGACTGTATGTATGTATACAGTATGTAGCATAATATGTTAAACATTTATTTTTATTTCGACAATACATATCTCGTAATTTGTAAACTTCGTACACAAATGTGAAATGCATCTGAAGACAATATATTTGTTGGCGATTTTTAATGTCACAGACAGGTCAAAGGTCAGAATTATTTTTGTGAAGAAATGAATGTAGAAAACGTTGTGGATATTATTTTACCCTTTGCAATATTTTTTGTCCGATGTAACATGTCTTTAGAAGAAAAATGAAATGAGCCATCGTATCGCCGTTTCGGATTTTTCTGAAAACCACTTGATTTATTCGCCAAGGACAGGTTTGAGGTCTAAAGTGATATATTTACACGTGACTACTTCAAGTCTATTTCAAATCAATAAATTGGTTTCTAATTCCGATTTTCAAGTATTTGATTGAGTCTGATATCCCTATTTTAGATCATTCGTATTTTTTAACCAAAAAGGATCAGACTATATTTTTGAAAATCCAAACCGAACAGCCGAATAGGGTTAGATAAGATATTTTTGGAAATTCAAAAAATGGATTGAATCTAATGTTCCTGACAATTCGAAAACTGATCGGATCTAATATATTTTCAGTCTCGAAGAATCCGTACCACACAAACTTATGTTATGTTACTCCTATTTAACCAATGCTTCATACATTAAATCTCACATACATGAGACGAGATCCTGACAACCCATCAAATCCCATAAGGTTGAGTAACACAGGTTAACGACTCGCATAAAAAGGCAATCAAATTTCACCCCATGAAGTCAAGTAGCCAATTTTCTTATCTGAGATGATATTCGGCGTCGTGCATTTATTTTGCTGCGCAATTACAATAATGAAACGTAAAATCCCAGATACAGAACTTTACACCTTGTCATTCGATTTTTCATATAAATAGCTTCATCCACCTTCCCTTTTGATCACTCAAGGTTTAGATCGATATACATTAATCATGCCGGTCCTTTTAGAAACGCCAAACTTCGAATTCTTTAGTCAAGTCCCTCATTTGCATGAGGCCGTAGACGCCTTCGAACGAGTGGATGCCGAAGAAAAGATTGTAGAGCTGGGAAAGATTTTTGTAAAATATAACTGCTTCAACGACTTTGGATTGACCATTGTTCACCGTCACTTCGACATGGACAAGCAAGAAATATTAGTAGAGTCGATAAATCCCAAGAAAACGGTGGCTGTATCAATCCCTTGGAAACTGGAAGGTATCTGTAGTATGAAATACTTCAATATTTTGGTTATAATATTTGCTTATTTAATAGGAGGCAATCATAGTCCTGTGGATATGGATTACTGGAAGTCATTCGGTTTTGAAGAGAAAAGCTATATCGTTCCAAAAACGTGGGCTTTTACCTCTGAGAAATTGGAAGCATTTGAATTTATTTGCAACGATACTAATTTTATTGGCCCAGACGAGAATTTTGTTAAGGAAGTATACGAATTCCTACAGGATTTGGGATTATTGGACATCGTGGGACTTCGCAGGCTTCATGGGATTGGAAATTCTTACGAAACGACGCCAGAGGGGGTGAAAGCAAATGTGGTGAAATTTGGTCAAGTTCCTCCCGAACTTCAAGATGACATGATCAAGGTTGCTTGGAGTTTTAATGAAAAGGGAGAAATGAGGGGGGATCAAGCCTGTATCGTCTGTTGGTGTAATCACAGTTGCACTAGTCATTCATGCAGTCGTCATACACAATAAAAATATTTGTCAGGATCTAATTAAATTCTAATATGTAGGGTACCACACAGTTCCCAAACTATGTAAATTGTCCAGTCAGTTGAAACACTATGCAGATGCTTGATTCACTTAGATGCTTCATCACAAAGAAATAACTTAATTCAGTCGGTTTTAAAAATAAAAAGAGCTATATTTGCAGACAGAGATTCCTTTTTGGTAACTTTCTGTACCTACATACATATGTACAATTCTGCAGGCGTCAACCTTTTTGTCTGTAGGGCTCCTGTCCTGAAATTCCTCTGAGGCGCACATTCATAAAGGATGTGATCGATTGTGGGGAAATTTTGAACCCTACCCTCCTGGTTGGACCTATGTATACGCCCCATGCTATAATTAACACGGGAAGGGTAGGATGCCTGGACCCCTACCCGCCACAAATCGATCACATGCTTTCTGCATAGTCCCTCGCACATTTACCACCAAGAAACAATGCAACCTTTCAAAATCCACTGGAACAAAGCCCGTATTCAAAAGAACTCTAATTTAAGTATTATAAATACATACGTGTGATGTCTAAATCTTCATACATAAATAGATTTTAGGTCTACGTACATATTTAACCTTTTCACTACACTGGTGAAGACACATGCATGCAAATACACATGTAACTATTTCAAAACTGTGGAAGTGTGGATAGACCGTGTTAAACCAATGTGTGTAAAATCATCGTCTTTCTAGAAGAATTGTAATTATCGCTCAAAAAGTAAATATTTTGCTCTTAATTTATATTCACTTGAAATCTACACTTTGTCTTCTCAATCTTGAAGAATCGATCATTACGAAACAAATAGTGGGATTTCCAAGGTAAAATTAGTTTAAGAACCAATTTTTACACAAGTAAATACGTCCATCTTGGTCTTCAAGTCAAGCACGTTTTGTGAGGCGAAAATTTGAGAAGGGAAATAAAAACGAGGTCATTATACATTATACCATAAATAGAAATACGTAAAATTTACTCAAGGTTGAGTGAAAAAGACACAGCCAAAAGGTAACATTTATCCAACGGTGTGATAAATTTGTCCAACAAATTTTGCACAAGTTTCGCCAAATTTTCCGTTCTGGTTGTGCCATCCTCTTTTTTTATTCAACCTTGAGTAAATTTTACGTATTTTTATTTAGAGTGCATATTCATTTGAGTACTTCCCTTAACTTATTCCGTCCTCAAGAATTTCCTACACTCTAAATAAAGTTGTTAAGGAAAATTTACCCAAGGTTAATAATCAAATTAGAGGATGATGCAGGAATTGGGTAAAATTTATTTAACGCTGTGTGAACAATTATGTATAGTTTGTCATCCAGTAATTTCCTTAACCTACATTACATTTTATACGACTGTATTTAGAATGTAATCGAAATACTTTTTAATTAATATTCAGGTCTCCCTGGGGGAATCTTCAAAAATCAAAAATGGATTTTCGTCCGCCCACTCTTCGACGACCACACCTGGCCGTTACCTTATCTGAAGTAAGTTTATTAAAGTATTGGTAAAATTTCGGTAATTTTCAAATTTACCGGGTTCTTAAAATTTTTAGATTGTGCATGAAATAGTGTCATTCCTTCCAACCATTGACCTACGTTCAAATGTGACCCACGTTTCCCGCGGATGGGAAGACGCCACTCGAAAACAACTCCTTTCTCGAGTTCAGGTCGACCTCACCCCAAAAAATATGGCGGGCTACCTTGAACTTTCCAAGATTCGTGGAAACTACCACAAACGTGTCTTCCTTTCTGAATTCAATTTCGAAAATCCGACCCCCGAAGAGTCCAATCTGCTCGAAAATTTCACCTCCACCGCGACCCCGCGCATTACAGAGCTACGTTTGGACTACTGTCCCCCGAAACAGGAATCCGTGCACACCTCTGTCCTCACACTACTCGCACATTGCCCCAGATTAAAATTTGTCTCCTTCTCCCCAAAGACTTTAAGAATTCAGATAATCAAAAATTCCCACGCAACGGATGTAAGTTTCCCGAAAGTTGAAAAATTCAAGATTTCCTCGACTTCACGATTAGACGACGTTAATTTGGCAGATTTCCTCAGAATCGTAGCGATTTTCCCGAACCTGAAAACATTGCGTTGCCCAACCCTTCCACAACACATTTTCGAGCATTTTCTATCCAATAAGGGGTCAATTAGAGAAATTTCAATGAGTTTAAGTAGCTCAGAGCCACCCCTTTTGATAGCAGAAAGGTCCCCTTTTTTGGCATTACAGGATGGCATTACAGGTCGGATTTTTAACCAGCTCGAGAAATTATAACGTTATCATTGCCACTTTTGCCGACCAGCTGGAAAAACTAAGGCTTACCGCGGAATACAACTTCCCGCGGGAATTAGTGGATTCGCATGATGCCCGGGTACTCGTGACAATCACGTTGCCCAAGGTGTTACCAAGATTAAAATGTTTGGCAATTGGGATCCCTCGAGATTCAAGTTTTAGTCGGGAGGGTAAGAAAAGGTTGAAAGCTCCCGCGCTTCATTTAAACTTCGACGGCTATTCGAGACAATTGCCCGCCTTGGAGAAAATTGTGGTCTCAGGGCGGGATGAATGGGATAGGGGGTCACAGGATGAGATGGAGGAACAAGACTTTTTCGAAATGTGTGCGGGATTTTTGGCCAAATATTTCCTAAAAGGGGAATGTCTAACGTTGAGAGATCTTAAGGTTCCACTTCATCCCGGAAAAAAAGGTAGGGTCGAAATGTTTTCAAAAAGTAGGAAGTGCTCGGAAGAATTGGGAATTGGTGGATTGTTCCGATTTTTTGAAAGGATTGTTACCACGTTTCCGAATTTGGGGTGTGAAACGTTCGAGGGGGTGGGAGATTCCGGGGAGGCGGAGGAATGGGTGCGTATCGGGTGCGGGATTGGATTGCTGGAGAAGAATGAGCTCAAATTGAGTTAAATTAAGTACGCAAGTTTGTATAGTTGACTTTGATGTATGGGTAGTTATTTAAACAAAAATAACTTTTGAAGGTATGTATCTACGTGATAATCCAATATTTTGAATGATTGTAACTCCAGAAATATGTACGTACTTACGTATGAATTATTTGTGCACTCTAAATACTTAGCATTCCAATAAATAAATATGCATGCATTTGTACTCATCTTTTTACATTGAAGTATGTGTAAAATGTTTATTGACTTTTTTTCTTGCTTAAAATTACAACATTACTAAAAACACCCTTTATGGAATGCCTCGTCCATCCATCTTCCTGTCGGTGTCCATATCCAGGTACATACGAATTTGAATTTCGATATGTTATCTTCACCAATTTATTTCTAAGTTATGGACAAGTGTTACATGCAGGTGTTGAGCGGCAAAATACAAGCATGATTTTTGTACCCATCCCAAACAAGGTGAAAACCAGAGTTTAAACCATTACAGGCTTTTTAGTAACTCTACGTACTTACAGTTTTATTGAGGACGATCCATTTCTCCGAATCGTTGCTGAACCTTCTGCCCTTAAATTCCTTAAGTTCACTCTAACTTAATATTATAAATAAATAACTAAGAATGGAACCTTTTCTGAAGCTTTTCTGACGATTTTTTTGAAGCCCACAGGAATTTTTCGCAAAGGACAGGTTTGGGACAGGGTTGCAGAAATCTCATCTCACCTTCGTAAATCTAATTTCACTGTAATATAATGAGAAATAGTGAAACATGAGAAATATTAGATTTAGTGAGATTTATGACCCATGCACTAGCGCCACCTAGCGGACGGGGTCATGAACTACACGTTTATCTCATTATTTATCATATTTCTCACTCAGCCCCAACTGAGATGATTGATATAAATCATTAAATCTGACTAAATCTCCCTAGGTGATATATATCACTTGTAACCCTGGTTTGAGATCTAAGATCGTACACGGTCCGACCAAAGCTCACTTTTCTTCTAAACGCATGTCGCATTCGATAAAAATAGTACAAAGTTAAAACAAATTATCCACCAAGTGTTTCTTTTTCGACGATTCAAATTTGCTCAGCAAAATAATCGTCACCCTTGACCTGTCTGCTACATTAAAAATCGGCTACGAGGAAATTGTCCGTAGAAACTTTTTTGTAAGGAGTTTGAAATTTTAAAAATTATGCCATTACGTCGATCGATACATATAAACATTATGTCATCGTATCATTTAATAAGTTACATACTGTAACTCGTTAAACAATCCTGGTGTACCTTGAAAAAAGATTCAATTGTACATAAGGCCTTCGTCAGTACATAAATAGATTTTGGGTCGACAAGCTACTAGGTACTCAACCCTTCCACCCCTCGGGTCAAGACATACAGAACTCCCTCATAACTGCATTACGATCGCTACCGTGTAGAGACTCAGTTTTAAAGCAAAGTGTGTAAAAGTTTTAACCATTGTGAATTATGTATTTTTCCAAAAATTATAAAAAGCTGTTTGCTCAGGATTATTAATGCCAATCTCGCCTTACATCAAACTTGATTTAGAACTCATTTTGCATAAGTAACTAAATATATTTTACATCTTTCTTCCCATCTATTTAAACCCGCCAGTCTACCGGGTCCACATTCCGTAAGGTAAAAATTTGCAACGATACTTGTCAAATTATGTAAAGATATATACAGATAAATACCAAACCATTACATTTTACGTAGTCACCTTAGCTTATTCCATTCTCAAGTAGTTATGTACTATACTCTAAACAAAAGTGTACACAAATTGTGTCTGGGCTGAACACAAAAATGGAGGATGACACAATAATTGGGTAAAATTAATCCACAATTGTGTAAAGTTTTACACTATGCTGGACAAATTTTACTCGATTGTTTTGTGTGTCGTCCTCTCTTTTACTCAAAGTAAAATAAATTTTACACAACTTTATTTAAAGTATAGGGTCCATTTTAATGAATGAATTTGTGCTACAGGAATAATTCTGAAATGGATTCTTCTCGTCCCATTCCACGCCCACACTTGGCCGTTACGTTGCCTGAAGTAAGTTTCCTAAATTATTTAAAAAATTTCAGAAACTTTCAAATTTACCCAGTTCCTTAATTTCCAGATCCTACATGAAATAGCGTCATTCCTCCCCACCTACGACCTCCACAAGCACGTCACCCTGGTTTCCCGCGGATGGGAAGATGCCGCTCGAAAACAGCTCCTTGCCCGAGTGCTGGTCGACCTCACCCCGAAAAATATGGCGGGCTACCTTGAACTGGCCAAGATTCGAGGGAACCACCACAAACGTGTCTGCTTGTCTTATTTAAATTTCGAAAATTTGTCACCCGAGGAGTCCAAACTACTCGAAAATTTCACCTTCACCGGGACCCCGCCCATTACCGAGTTACGCTTGGACTACTTCCCTCACGAGTGGTCAATCCACCCCTCGGTCTTAACTCTATTCTCACATTGCCCCAGGTTACAATTTGTCTCCTTTTCCCCAAAGGCTTTTACTCTTCCGACAATTAAAAGCCCCCTTCCAAAAGATATAAGTTTCCTAAAAGTCGTAGCATTCGGAATTTCTTTGCCGGCCAATAATTCGAAATTCAGCGGCTTAAGTTTAACAAATTTCCTACGATTAGTCTCGGTATTCCCCAACCTGAAAATATTACAGGGCAGAACCCTTCCACACAACGTTTTAGAGTATTTTCTATCCAATACGGGGTCAATTAGGGAAGTTTCGGTGTGGTTGAATAACACTGATGGACCTTTTTCGATACAAAAACCATCCCTTTTTCTGACCAGGATAGAGCTACAGGTCGGAACGTTATCCAACATGAGAAATTGTAACGTACTAATGGCCACGTTTGCGGGGCAAGTTGAGAAACTGAAATTAACCGCGGAATGCAACTTGCCCTGGGAAGAGTTTAACTGGCAACAGTGTTTCCTGACAATTAATAAGTTGCCAAGGGTGTTATCAAAGCTAAAGTGGTTAGAAATTGGGGTACCGCGATGTTCCAATAATAAAGGAAACGTGAAGAAAGTTCCCGCACTTGGGTTAATGTTTCCGGAAAATTTAGTTTATTCGAGACAATTCCCCGCTTTGGAAAAATTCGTTGTCTCGGACCGATGTGGGATGAGATACATGTCCCATGAAGAGATTGAGGAAGAGGAATGGTTTGAAATTTGTGCGGGATTTTTGGACAAATATTTCTTAAGGGGGGAGTGTCTAATGGTGAGAGATGTGAGGATTCCACTACCGCCCGGGGAAAGGGTGGGGTTTGGATTGTTTCAAAAATTGGGAGGTGATGAAAACAAGGTTAACTCTGAGTTGGTGGATTGCTCCGACTTTTTCCAAAGGATTGCGACCACGTTTCCAAATTTGGGGTGGGAAATGTTTGACGGGGTGGGAGATTCTGAGAGGGTGGAATAATGGGTGAGAGATAGGATTGCTGGAGAAGAAAGGGTTAAACTTGATGTAAATTATGCATAATTTAAATATGTAAAATATAAATCAAACTAAACTACACTTTCATGAAATAAAATGTAATGTTTTGAATTGAATAAATTTTGAAGGTATGATAATGAAATATTTTGAATAATTGTAGATAAAGACTTATGAATAATTCATGCTCTCTAAATAAATATGTAATTTGTGGAAAAATCGTCATCCGACGAGAATGTCTTGAGTTAAATTATGAGTAGGAATTATACATATGAGTCAACAACGAGATCCACCACTAATTTTAGAATTTAGAATCAAGTATTTTAAAATGTTATGGTCAGTGTGTTTGAAGATAAAATCAAATTTTTCAGCGGGGCAATTACCCTGGGGGGTCGTATGGACTTATAACATGTGTACGCAGGAAATCAGATTACTCTGGAATGGATGGATGGAAATACAAAACTTTTTTTGTTGTAATCTTTACACAAATACATACCTTTTCACCCCTTTTCAGTGTTTCCCAAAAATTTCTGGTTTGAACGTCTGAACTAAATTTATAAAATCAAAATAAGAAAAATGGTCAGAAATTAATAATAATTTTAGAAATTTTGCTCCATAAATAAGTAAGTTTAATACATATATATGTAAATTTTAAATTAATAATTACCCACGTTACTGTAGTATAGTGTCTATTTTTGGACTGAAGACACGTTTTTCATGGCACTAACACGCAATGGAAAATATGTAAGTCAGAAAGTTGTGTATGGGTGAACGTGGCGTTATTTAAAATTTAATTCTTTCATGTAAAACCATTTACTAAATTGATGTACTAATTGTAAGATGTTATGTATGTACATAGTCGGAAACACTCAAGTGTCAATGACATATAGCTTTATTACTTTTGTAATTCTCAACTTAGCAATTTTTGACTTATTTTACCGAAAAGCCAGATACATTTCAATTCAAAAACAATTTTTAGTCTTAAAAATTTCCTCCTCCTGCGTCAATGGCACGCTGAAGACGAGACGACCACTCCTAGATGGAATTACGCACAGATTTCAGGGAGATTGTGTGTCATTCCGAGGTCAGAAATTTTTTCCAAACCTCTGCACTTCTACGTGGCTTAGAACACACCTTTGTCCCTAACTTGGACCATTTGTAATATTCCCGTGATTCAAATCCAGCAAGGATGATGACCATTTCTGATTGGAGATAAAGACCGGAATTTGTTTTTTTAGCTACGCTTGGGTCATTTTTTGCACTATAAATTCGTGCTGAGTCCTTCTGAGAGGTCCCATCGATTCCATTGAATTGGATCTCACTTAGGGGATGTACCACGAACTCAAAAACATATTTTAAGAAATTTGATTCCCCCACCTCCCCACAAGTTTCAGCAAAATGTATAGAAATTACCCCAATTAGCTCCCACCTGCCAAAATCATCAAAAAACCTGGATAATGTGACAGGGGATGTCTCTGACCGATTTTGAGTAGATTAGGACAATTCTCTAGTTAAAATATTTTTCCGATGTGAAAATCTCCTCATTTGTAAAAAGAATCCTGCTCACTTTTCTGGAGCGTACCGCTTGAGGTAACTCCTGCATTTATTTAATCTGGTTTTCCTTTGGGGTACGATCAGGATATGGCAAGTACCACATTTCAAAGCCTTAAGCCTAAGCTTCAATTTGAGCACTCATTGGATAATTTTCATCGACACTGTCAGCAGTGAGCCCGGTTTCCGTTTGAATTTCGTGAATTCCTTCGGATTCCAGGCTTGAGAGGCTTCACGATGGGTGTGGTCCTTGGAGGTTTTCAAAAAATTCTTCTTCGACTGTTCTTAGTCGATACGGTCCCCATGAACATTTTTATAGTCCGTTGGGCTAAATTAAAGTACACCTATGACTTTTTCAACACATGTCAAATTCACTATTTTTCTTCGATTTTTTTTTGTGAAAAACTATCGCCGCCCGCTTCTCTTCAATTTCCTATATATTTATCCAGATGTTTAAAAATTACAAAGTCCATAGTGAATCATAATGTAAATCGCATGGCGAATCTAATGCACTTATCAGATTTTAATTATGCGGCGTAGTTTTTTAGCAATCAGCTGTTGACACTTGAGTGTTCCTGACTATGTACATATGCCGACATGCCAAATAAATATGTATTTATGCAATTTTTTGTACATTTACATATGTAATGTATAAATAATTTATCGTACCTTGTTAATTATACGCAGATTGTCTGTCTTTTAACATTTTGACATTGTTCATAATAAGCTGGAAATGTTTGTCTGCAACGGAAATGAAAGTAATTTGCCGTGACAGAAGTAAAAATGGTGAAAGTTTCACTTTTCTCGCCAATAGGTATTTCCAGATAATTATATAGATACAAAAAAAATAACTCGGTGGAATTATGTACAATCCGACGTAATTTTCACGAACATCAAATAAGCTCTCGCCCCGCGGGAGATGGGCTTATATGCTAGTTATTAATAAAGGGGACCCACCTTTTTATGGGAATGCCCTGTTTGTCCGAACGAATTTGAATTTCTATATGCTACATATCTTCACCAATTTGATTCTCATTTATGGATAAGAGTTATGGGCACAGATCGGCCAAGTGCAAGCATAATTTATACATGTACACATACCTGTTCAAAAATTTCATTCACCTTCATTGATCTTCTTTAAAATTCATTTCATTTAACTTTCATCGGACTTCATTTTCTACTTACCCTCATGTACATACATATGTATTCATAGGGTGAAAAATGGAAGAAGCGAGAAATCCTTTCGTTCATCTGAAATGTCGTAATTCTTTGGTCATAATAATTTTCATTCAAATGATAGGAAATTCACTATCATATTCATCATCAGGCAAATGAATGAGAGTTAAGAATTACGAAGCTAGATTTAGTTTTTGCTACATAGCTTTCCGTGCATACAATTTTACCGGAGTCAACCCTTTTCTGTGCAAAATTCCTGAAATTCCTTACACATTTACCACCCCAGAACCAAGCAACTCTTCAATATGTATTAACAGAATAAGTTCAGTATATATAATAATTGACGCTAACTTAATATCATACAGAAATAATTAACAATGGAACCTTTTCCATGCTTCACTAGAATTGTTTAACGGGTTACAAAAATAGATATTGGCAGCAAGGTTCAATTATTTAATCAATTTTCTCCTCCCTCTCGCCCCTCTTGGCGAAATAGGAGGCGCTCGTGGGTGCTTTGACCTCCAATATTTTTCATCAAAGGGACCATTCAACGGAATTATCAGTACCATGTGATTCCTAGTTTTTTACTTGATTTTTTCAATAACTCGTTAAACAATCCTGGTGTAGCTTAAAAAAGGTTCCATTGTACATAGATAAAACCTTCATAAATACATAAATAGATTTTGTTTCTACATACAAGCTCATACATAATCAACCCTTTGTCTAATGTAGGTACAGATAAGAGTTATCTGAAAATAGCAAGCATAATTTACATATTTATGTACCAAGCCCGAAGAAGCTAACCACAATAGTTTAAACTGGAGGGAACCGGGTATGCAAAAATGAATTGGATGATTCAAACTAGTTTTTTGTATGCAGCCTTCCGAGCCTACAATTTGACTGAGGTCAACCTTTTCCTCTGCAGGGTTCCTGGCCCTTCTGCAGTTCAGAAATTCCTTACACATTTTCCACCCTAAGAGAAAGCTACCCTTTAATATCGAATGGAACACAGTCCGTATTGACCCTAATTTAAATATGTAGGATATGTATGTACATGAGATAAGGAATTAAAACCTTCGTAAATAGATTTGGGCTGTATGTATGTAGATACAAGCCCTTATTCAACCCTTTCTCCACTCACGTGAAGAGATTCCCTCACTACAGGGTACCTACATATGTAGAGGGACAATATGTGTGAAATAATCATCTATTGAAATAATCTTTAAAAAACTTATAATAAGCTTCTTCTGAATTATTATTGTTAACAGAAAATTTCGAATGTGTCGTACACTGAAACCCCAAAGGTAAGACTAAATAGTTTAAAACCCCGTTTTTACACACGTGCAACGTTTCCACCTTAACCTGCAAATCAATTAGGTTTTGCGATCGAAAAGTTTTAGAAGGGAAATAAATAAATAAGTAACCAGTCAAATTTTCAATTTCTTTGAATAGACCCGTAAGCAATCATTTTGAAATGGAAGAAGATCGTCTCATCATTGGGCCACACCTGGCCGTTACTCTACCTGAGGTACTTCGATAAGTTTCTTAAAAAAATTTGCCCATAATTTGGGTTTAAATTATTTAAAAATTTCTACTTCATATTTTCAAATTTAAATATGTTCTGGGTTTCCAGATTGTACGTGAAATAGTGTCCTTCATTCCGAACCACGACCTCCTCAAAAATGTCACCCTCGTTTGCCGCGGTTGGGAAGATGCCGCTCGAAAACGACTCGTTTCTCGAGTCCGTGTCACCCTCACCCCGAAAAATATGGCGGGATACCTTCAACTGTCCAAGATTCGTGGCAACCACCACAAACGTGTCTGCTTGTCTTATTTCAATTTCGAAAATTTGTCACCCGAGGAGATCATACTACTCGAAAATTTCACCTCCACAGCGACCACGCCCATTACCGAGTTACGCTTGGACTACTTCCCCTACGGAGCTATCCACCCGTACGTTGTCTCATTATTCTCACATTGCCCCAAGTTAGAATTTGTGTCCTTTTCCCCAAAGCCTTTTAGAATTCCAACGATTAAAAGTTCCCACCCTAGGGGTGTGAGTTTTCCTAACGTTGTAGCCTTCGGGATTTCCATGTCGTCAGAATATTCTGAATTGGACAAATTTATGAACTCCTTAAGTTTGATAGATTTCCTCGAAATCGTCTCAATATTCCCAAACCTTAAAATATTGCGGTGTGGAACCCTTCCACGAAACATTGCAGAATATTTTCTATCCGATAAGGCGTCAATAAGGGAAATTTCGGTGAGATTGCGAAATAAGGATCCACCCTTTTCGATCACAGAAAGATCCCTTTTCCTGACCCGGGTAGAATTTCAGCTCGGGTTTCTATCCAACTCGAGAAACTATAATGTAATTATTGCCACTTTTGCCGACCAGCTGGAAAAACTCAAACTTACCGCGGAATACAACTTCCCGCGGGAAGTACTTCATTCGCATGATACCCAAATCACGTTACCACAGGTGTTACCAAGACTGAAATATTTCGAAATTGGGATCTCTCGAGGTTCAAGTTATCGTCCAGCTGGTCAGAAAATGTTAAAGGTTCCCGCGCTTCACTTAAATTTTGACGGTTATTCTACACAATTGCCCGCCTTGGAGAAATTAGTGATCTCAGAGCGGGAGACAAGATACAGGTCACAGGATGAGACGGAGGAACAAGATAGGTTCGAAATGTGTGCGGGATTTTTGTCAAAACATTTCCTTAGGGGGGAATGTCTAACTTTGAGAGATCTTAAGATTCCACTTCCTCCTAGGAAAAGGGTGGGGTTTAAATTGTTCCAAAAATTGGGGAATGTTGGGACTAGAATCATTTCTAAGTTGATTGATTGTTCCGATTTTTTCGAAAGGATTGTGACTACGTTTCCAAATTTGAGGTGGGAAACTTTCGAAGGGGTGGATTCTCCATGGGTGGAAGAGTGGGTGGGGGTCGGGTGCGAGAAGGGATTGCTGGAGAGGTATGAGTTGAACTTGAGTCAAGCATGTAAATAAGATTGGTAGGCACATAAGAAAAATGGCTTATAAATCCCCCTAAATATATTTTTAACCGTTTAAAGTGTATGATTAACGACAAGAAAATGTATTAAATCAGGGACACTATAAGTATGTTGTGGTCATGGCGTGGGAGAAGAAATTCTGGAGTTTTTAATAATTCTAGAAAAACTGAAAAATCAAAAATTTAACTTTGATTTGTATAGTGAAATATCCAAATTTTTGGGACGGAAATCTTCAAATTTAGCATTGTGTTGGCATAGGAGAAATCCCTCAAAATTGCAACAAATTTTAGGTCGCGGAGAGAAAATAGTAAAAATCAATGACCTCTTAGAAACGACAATTGTCTTCCTTCCGCGCCATGACCACGATTTTTCAGGACGACTGTTGTCGTACTCCCGAATTAAACCACTTCTTATAAAACGACAATTTTCGTCGTTACAGTTCAAACAAAATTAAAAATTTTCTTGTTTTCTACATAAATTCTAAAATTACTTAGCGTTCATAAATACTTGAAGCGATTAACAGATTAAAAGTTAAATAAACTCGTGATTAGCGTTTTATGTATATAAAAATGGTTTTGATTTTTTAAATCAAATAATTACCCTTGCAAATACATTAGAATGTACCTGTCTGTATGGAAGTCTTTTCCAACAAATTTTTCGAAATTGTAAATTATACTGGTGAAATTGGCCTAGTTACACATTAACCAAAATAAATTCTGATTTCTGCATATTTGTTTTGGTAAGAGAGAGGCTGAGCGAAAAGTGGAAGTCCATTTCGCATCCAAGTTATTCAATCCAGTAAAAATTTTAGGTGGAAGAATGTGAATTTATGGTAGAATTAACAGATCGTAATTAATATCTATGTATGTATGGCATATCATTTTTTTAATCTAGTGCAACCACACCGAAAGGTTGGGTGATTGTTTTAAAACCCGGTATTTTTTGATGACATAATATATGTATGAACGTTCCTTTACGGAATCAAGATTTAATAAGGTAATGCTCTTGATCTCTCGGCATTTATACTTATGTCTGTATCCGCATTGAGAGCTTAGATTCCCACAGTAGAAAATTTATTTCAGGTAATTTACATACCGTAAATACTTTATTTTTGGCCGGGACTAAAATCCAAAACTGGGTGTCACTGACCTGGCTATAATTAGAGACCCGGCTAAATTTTGTTCTGCACTAATTTTTAATATTACAAAATCACTTTTTGTCATGATTAGATGCATTCTTGGTCAAATGAAATTAAAAGTTTTATAATTTTTGACCTCATTCGTGGAATTCACCGAATGTACAGCATATTTGTATGGACTGTGAACGGGGACAGAGCTGATATGACAGGTCATAATTAGAGACCCGGCTCAAATTTTAAAATTTTGGCCTCTAGACCCGGCTATATTTGGAGACCGGCTATAATTAGAATAGAGCTATAAATAGAGGTTTTACGGTATGTATATATATACAGTAGGTTCTCAAAAGTACTGGTGGTCCATCTTGTGTGTAAGAATTTTAGTCGTTGGATACTGAGATCATCCAGAAATTTTTTTACAACCAAACTAATGAGCTAGAAAATACTGCATACAGAATTTAGAAATCTGACTCCTTTCGGCTACCGATTGCAAATACTTTTTAGAACCCACTGTATACATGTATTTACATATTCATATGCTTACTCTATGTAAGTATATTCAACTTTCCGTGCCCACAATTTCACCTTTTTCTCTGCCTGTTCCTTCTGGACTGAAATTCCTTCAAGGTTAACACCCCCAAATGTTACCCTTGTGAACAAATTCCGTGTTGACCCTAGTTTGCACATTTCATGTGCTTATGTATGCATGCATTTACATACATGTAACTTGCGTGATGACTAAAGGCATTATACATTAATAGATTCCCTTTCACCACTCTTGTCAAGACATTTGTAGGCACATAACTTCCTCACAACCTTTTTAAGATCGTTAATCAGTAGCGAGACGATATTAAACCAGTGCGTGTTAAAGAATTAGTTATTAAAATCGTCTATCAACAAAGGTTTGTAATAAAAATTTTGCTCCGATTAGATATTGCTAATCCTGCCTCAAACTAAAACGATCCACCGTGACGATACCAACAACAGCGCCGATTACAGGACAAAGGTAGGTTAAGGACGCATTTTACATAAGTATGTACACGCTTTACATCTTTCATAAGTTAACCACGCCAACGTTATGTAAGATAAAAATTTGCAATCAGTGCCGTTTCTGTCCTTGGTCTGGCCTGGAGAGTAAAATTCTCGTCCGGCCTTTTATGTGCAAAATTGCTAAAATTGAATTGAAGCGGATTTCTATCGCTTATTTCTTATCTACGGCTATGGTCACAAATACAGTCGGTGTCTCATTTGTTCGTGGAAGGGTTTGGCAATTTTTTTACCCCACAGGCGGAATTTTTTAAGGCAAAACTTATTCCATATGACAGCCCTTGTTCTTAACTTCAAGAATGCATCGCTATTTACCCGATAAAAAAACCTCCAAGGACTTTTCTAGGGCATATTTCTTCCAGTCATTATTTTAAGGGTTCCAAAGTACTTGAAAATTCGGGATTCGTAAATCGATTCCGGATTTTCCTGATGAGTTAAGTCTATATTTTTGTAAGAACTGTACCTATCTAATCACAATATCTAATCAAAAATCTATCTAAATCTAAATCTAATCTTTATCTAATCAAAAATATTTTTAATTTCTGATATACACAAATTATGAATTCTGAAAATCTCAAGTTCATATTTAATTTTAATTTTAAATTAAATTATAGCTTGCTACTGTATTGACAAACTTTTTTTTAAATTCTAACCAATACAGGGCTTTTAAAAAACGGGTTAGAACCATGTTTCCAAAATGGAAAACCGGGTTACTTAAATTTGCCAAAACTTCTACTACAAACCAGTTTTAAAAATCTCCCGATTTTGGATGCTCCAGAGATGCGACTTGATTGGCAAATTTCGCGAAACAGAAATTATCGAATAAGTTATGTACATTAAGACAGTTTTAGTTATAGTTGAAACCATAATTCAATTTCTCTTTGTCCATTTTTTGATAGATGCGTATTTGCATTTGTAACACCCCACTTTCGTGCATCAAAGCTCCTAGAAAAAAAGTAACGCATGCAATTCAGTTTATCGCTCGGAAATGTTCGAACGCGTTCATAGATCATGACCAAATTAAAGAATAATATGTACCTGGCCATTGTTATGAAAGAATTTGAAGCTAGGTTAGACCAAAAAATATTTGATGAAGTAGGGATCATATATTTAGTGCAAAATATTCGAAATAATCGTGGGAGACTGAAATTTGGCATTGTGGGTCGACACAGATAGAATGCCGAACGTATTTATGCTCGATTGATAGTGTAACGGCCTCTTCAATTACATATGAAAAATTGTTTGATAGGGTTAATAACTCAAACTTGAAAATTTTTCAACTGCAGGACTATTTATCTTATGCTACCTTAACCGATTTACAGAAATCGTCTCGGAAGGCTTAAATTTTAATATTGTTTCATATTGTGAGATCATTGAAACTTTTCAGAAGTGAACAAAATCGAGATTCAATTTATAACTTTGTAAACGCTGCTTAGGAACGTTATGCATAAGTTACATCTGCTACATGTACTTCGGAGGGTCAATTATATCTAGTGTCTGCACCACCCGGCCGGTACGGCCCTTCGGGCCGTCCGGCCTGGAGAGTGCTCGCCACCCAAAACCAGTGGTCCTACCGCCCTGTTTGCAATACAAAACTTACGAACGGAAATATTTAAATTTGTATACAAAACCAGTACAGGTTTACCTAGTCACCTTAGCTTACTTATTCCATTTTCAAGTAATTATCTCTTAATAAAAATGTGTAAAATTTACACAAGCTTGACGAGCAAAATAAAGGATGATGATATTTAATGGAGTAAAATATATCCAAAAGTGTGCAGCCTTTTACACATTGTTGGAAAAATTTTACTTAATTGTTGAACAAAAATATTTTACTCGACCTTGGATTAATTTTGGACAACTTTATTTAGATTGTAAGACGCGTTTTGATCAATTGGTTCCCCAGGAATCATTCCGAAATGGAGTTGAGCCTTCCCTTTCCACGCCCACACCTGGCCGTTACGTTGCCTGAAGTAAGTTTCTTAAATTATTGGAAATATTTCACATATTTCTGGTATTTTCAAATTTAACGAGTTCCTCAATTTCCAGATTGTACGTGAAATAGTGTCCTTCCTCCCCAACCACGACCTCCGTGAGAACGTCACCCGGGTTTCCCGTAGATGGGAAGATGCCGCTCGAAAACGACTCATTTCCCGAGTCTGTGTTACCCTCACCCCGAAAAATATGGCGGGATACCTTGAACAGACCAATATTCGAGGAAACCACCACAAATGTGTCTTCCTTTCTGAGTTCAATTTCGAAGATTTGTCCCACGAGGAGTCCAATCTGCTCGAAAATTTTACCTACAGGGCGACCCCGCTCATTACCGAGTTACATTTGGACTACTTCCCGCACGAATTGTTCATCCACCCTCACGTCGCCACACTATTCTCACATTGCCCTAAGCTAGAATTTGTCTCATTTTCTCCAAAGACGTTTAGAATTCCAACGATGAAAAGTTCCCTGTCAAGCGGTGTAAGTTTCCCAACCGTTAGAAAATTTAAGATAGGATATAATTCAGGAATCGATGCGGTCTTGAAAACCTTAAGTGCGACAAATTTCCTTCAAATTGTTTCAATATTCCCGAACCTTAAAATCCTACGGGGTGAAACCCTTCCACAACACGTTTTAGAGTATTTTCTCTCCAATAAGGGGTCAATTGAGACAATTTCAATGATCTTACATGACACCCATTTCGATCGAAAAACGATCCCAGTTTCTGACTAGGCTAGAATTTCAGGTTGGATTAGAAAATCAGGCGAGAAATTATGACGTGATTCTTGATGTGTTTGCTGATCAGCTGGTAAAACTCAAACTTACCGCGGACTCCAACTTGCCGCGGAGATTATTAGATTTGAATGAGGGCAAGGTACTCGTGACAATTAATTTCCCAAAGGTGTTACCAAGACTGAAATGTTTGGCCATTGGGATCCCTCGAGGTCTAAGTTTTGGTCAAAAATTGGGAACAGTTCCGGGGCTACATTTAAACCTGGGGGGCTATTCGATACAACTTCCCGCCCTGGAAAAATTAGTTATCGCGGAGCGGGATGAGTGGGAGACTAAATACTGGTCGCAGGATGAGACGGAGGAGGAGCAAGAATGGTTTGAAATTTGGGCAGAATTTTTAGCCAAATATTTCCTGCGGGGGGAGTGTCTTACCTTGAGAGATCTTAAGGTTCCACTACCTCCCGGGGAAAGGGTGGGGTTTAAATTGTTTCAAAAATTGGGAGGTGGGAGAAATAAGGTTATTTCTGAGTTGGTAGATTGTTCCGATTTTTTCGAACGGATTGTGACCACGTTTCCAAATTTGAGGTGGGAAATGTTTCAGGGGGTGGATCCTGAGAGGGTGGAAGAATGGGTGCGGATCGGGTGTGAGATGGGGTTGCTGGAGAAGAAAGGGTTGAATTTGGGATAAATTAAGAAAGTGGAGTTGATTTTGAGAGATGTATAGTAATTTTTGAATTTACATAAATTTTGAAGGTATACAGTATGTAACATCAAAATATTTGTAATTAAAAACAATCTTGCCTCCATTCCATTAAAAATTTACCACAATGTAGTTTGATATAGTGTTATTAAATAGTATAAAAATAGTTTCGAAACATCTACCATTTCTTGAGAAAATTGAATTTAAATTTGAGAAACAATATCGTAGCTATAATTATGTTACGTACATAACAGGTGGACGCAGCATTAACAAAATTTCGTATTGTTAGCAGAAATTCGAATTGCTAACAAAATCTGGTATTGCTTTGAAAATTCCGAACAAATAAATTTAGAATTTCTAGTAATTAGTGCGCTCTAAATACGTATGTAACTTGGTTATGGAATTTGTTATCGTAAATGGAAAAAGTAATAATAAAGGTCGTACATGCACAAAGCAGAAAACGGAAAAGAAAATTTAATAATTTCACGTTAAAAACACTTACCTATGTACAGTGTGGTTTAAATGGCACACTACAATGGCCAATTTTTCGATTGGAAAAATCCTTTAGTTCCCATTAGTTACGGAAATTTTGTCTCTAAAATTCATTATTTTGTCATCAGTTTTGATGATAATTATAAAAATTGCAATCCCAAATCTTGCATCTATGTAATCGAGATTTAGGCCTAATTTATACTCGTCATTTTAGCGTCATTTTAATTTCACTTTCACGATCGACTCAATTGATACTTTTTCGGATTCATTTTGCTTTCGCGAAAAATTAACGCCATGCCAACAGCAAAATGATTGCAATTTATAGTTGAATTCATTTCATTTTGCTTTCATTTTGGTTTCACTTTCACGCCGTTTTCCAAAGTTGAAAGTGTTTCAACTTTTGGAAAATGAAAACGGCGTGAATTTCTTTATAATCAACTGTAGCTATGGTCGCACTATATCAGGCTGCATTGTAGGGTTTGTTTATTGTATTTTTACTTGTTACATCATGTATCCTAGGTTTTAATTTGTGGTATATTAAACATTTTTATTTTATTTTGCATTTCTGAACCGTAGTTTAGGGCAACAATTTAGATTCCTTCCAAATTCAGGATTTTAATTTTTAGTTGCGGTGAAAGCAAACTGAAATTATCGGAAAATTAATGTTTCATGAATTTCTGTGAAAAAGTATAAATTATAACGATGAAAATGACGCGAAAGCTATAGTGAAATTAAAACTAAATGAAAATGAAATGACGAGTATAAACACGGGGTTAGGGACTATTCCCATTAAAAAATTGTCCATTGCTGCGTAACATTTAAACCACCTTGTACACACATGGGCTTACTCAATGTGCAACTTTCTGTGCCCACAATTTTACCAGAGTTAACCTTTTTCTCCTCAGGGCTCTTGTCCCTTCTGGACTGAAATTACTTTCATCACTCAAAAACAAAGTAACCCTTCAGAACAAATTCCGTCTAGAACCTGACCCTAATTTGAATATTGTATGCACGTATGTATGTAAATGTGTGTGTACATACATGCACGTGATGACTAAAACCTCTATACATACGTACATAAATAGATTTTATGCCTACAACCTTGCATGTACAAATGCAACCCTTTCACCACTCCGGTCACGACATATGCACAGAAATCCTATCTGTATTAAGATCGCTAAAGTGTATCTAGCGAGACACCGCTAAACAACTATGTGTTAAAGCAGTAGCTATTGAAATTATCCTTTAATAAAAATTAATACTACATTTTGCTCCGAATTATGAGATATCGCTAATTCCGCGGTACTAAAATTTGCAACGGTCTTACGCTACGATACGAGTAGTGGAATTTAAATACAGGACAACGGTAATTTAAGGAGCAATTTTACAAAAGTAAGTACATATTTAGGTTTTACGTTTTTCATCAGTCAACCATGTCCAAGTTTTGTAGAGTGAAACTTTGAAAATATACAAAACTTATGGACAGATGTACGTAAATAAGAAACCATTACAATTTTACCTACATATTTACTCGCACTTAGCTTATTCCGTTCTGAAGTAATTTTATATTACACTTTAAGCTGTATTGTATCAATTTTGGATAAATTTTACTCACAATGCAAGTCTTTTACGTGTACAACTCTAATCTGGTTGGGACCATTTAATTTTGTTCACCACAAAATATAAGCATACCCGTATTTTTGCATTTTTCATAATGCGCTAATTTGAGCGCGGGGCGCGAATTTTAAAACATTTTTCAGCCAAAACCTCGGTTTTTAAAAATTCTGTAAATTTTCGAATTTTATGAAAAATCACTTATGAAAAATTACTTATGCAAAATCCACATGTATTATTTTTTGAAAAATTAAAAATTTGAAAGAGTTTATAATTTTAATAAATTTCAAAAACTGGCAAAAAATTTAGAAAATCAAATTTCGAGACAATTGGATTTTTCATAAGTCAGGTAAGTCATTCTGAGGAGACATGTTTTCGAATTTTTGGATTCGGGCTAATATTCGAAAATTTACAGAATTTTTAAAAACCGAGGTTTTGGCTGAAAAATGTTTTAAAATTCGCGCCCCGCGCTCAAATTAGCGCATTATGAAAAATGCAAAAATACGGGTATGCTTATTTTTTGCGGTGAACAAAATAAAATTGGTCCCAACCATATCTGAGTTGTACACGTAAAAGACTTGCATTGTCAGTTGTTGAACATTCAGAATTTTACTTGAGTTTACCAAAATTTTACTTGGACTAATTTTGGACAACTTTATTTAGAGTGAATGATCCACTTTGATAAATTGGTCCCCAAGGAATCATTCAAAAATGGAATTAAGTCGTCCCATTCCACGCCCACATATGGCCGTTACATTACCCGAAGTAAGTTTCGTAAATTATTGCAATTATTTCTGCTCTTTTCAAATTTAAAGAGTTCCTTTATTTTTAGATTCTACGTGAAATAACGTCGTTCCTTCCCAATTACGACCTTCACAAGAGCGTCACCCTGGTTTCCCGCGGATGGGAAGATGCCGCTCGAAAACGACTCCTTTCTCGCGTCTGTGTCAACCTCACCCCGGAAAACGTGGCGGGATACCTTGAAGCCACCAAGATTCGCGGAAAGCACCACAAGCACGTGTTCCTTCGTGATTTCAATTTTGAAAATCTGTCCAGGGAGGAGTCTAAAAAGTTGGAAAATTTCAACTTCACCGCGACCACCCCCATTAACAAGTTACGCTTGGATTATTTTCCTTACGGATGGTTCATCCATCCCCGGGTCGTAACGCTATTCTCCCATTGCCCCAGACTAGAATCTGTCACTTTCTCCCCAAAAACTTTAAGAACTCAAACACTCAAAAGTTCTCCCCCAAAGGATGTAAGTTTTCCAAAAGTTGTAGCCTTCGAGATTTCCTTGGCGTCTGATTATTCAGAATTCGAGGAAGTAATGAGATCCATAAAGTTGCCAGATTTTCTCGGTATCATTTCAATATTCCCGAACCTTAAAATATTGCGGTGTACCGCACTATCACAAAATATTATGGAGTATTTTCTATCCGATAAGACGTCAATTAGAGAAATTTCGGTGAGATTGCGAAATACGGATCCACTCATTTCGATACAAAATCGATCCATTTTTCTGACCGGGATAGAATTTCTGGTCGGAATTGCAGCCAACTCGAGAAATTATGACGTAATTCTTGCCATTTTTGCCGACCAGCTGGAAAAATTAAAACTTGTCGCGGAATACAACCTTCCACGGAGATTATTTGAATTGGCTGATGTCCAGGTACTCGTGACAATTAATTTGCCAAAGGTGTTGCCAAGGCTGAAATGTTTGGAAATTGGGATCGTTCGAGAGGCTAGCTTTGGTAATAAAATGGAGAGAGTTCCCGGGCTTCATTTAAATTTTGGGGGCTATTCGCTACAGGTTCCCGTCTTGGAGAAATTAGTGGTCGCAGAGCTGGATGAATGTGAGCCCAGATACAGGGACCCAAATGACTTGGAGGAGGGACAAGAGTGGTTCGAACTTTGTGCGGGATTTTTTTCAAGATATTTCCTGCTGGGGGAGTGTCAAACCGTGAGAGAGGTGACGTTTCCACTACCTCCCGGGAAAAGGGTGGGGTTTAAATTGTTTCAAAAATTGGGGGGTGGGAGAAATAATGTTATTTCTGAGTTGGTGGATTGTTCCGATTTTTATGAAAGGATAGTGACCACGTTTCCGAATTTGAGGTGGGAAATGTTTGAGGGGGTGGATCCTGAGAGGGTGGAAGAATGGGTGCGGATCGGGTCCGAGATAGGATTGCTGACGAAGGAAAAGTTGAAGTTGAAGTAATAGAGTTAAGTACGATTTTGATGGAAATTTTGAAAATATTTACCAGATACTTCTTGAAATTTTGTAAATTATAAAAATTATGGTAATGCAAATTTTTAATAATTGTACTCATGAATAATAATTTGTGCGAGCTGAATATATGGGATGTAAGAAGTCCACGTTTTCTAAGGTTAGACTATGTATAAATTATCTGTTACATATTTTTGTTCAGGTTTCCTTAGAGGAAACTAACGTGAAACTGATAAAAGTTGCCTTTAATGTTTGAATTGCGCTGATGTATTTAGATATGTATATTAAATGTTTTGAAAAAATTCGTTTTGCACTGTACAAATCATAGGGTTTGAGTATATCTCCGAGTTTCTATTCGAGACGTCTAATTTAGAAACCTATATTAAAATTAAATTAAATACGCTTCCTAAATATTATTCGTTAACCCAATATTTACACTTTTATGACTTAGGATTAACTAAAACTGAAATTTATATTTACCCACGTACATAAATATGTATGTACAACCCGTTAGATACATATATAATTATCAGCGTAAACTTGCATCTCATGCATACTTACATATGCATGCAAACAGGATAAATAAATCTACAAGCTTTGAATACCTTTATGTCTACAATGTTAATTATGAGATGACTCTCTTTATACGGTAATATGTATAATATTGTGACATTATTAATAAAACTGAGACTCTTTTATGGAAATGTTCTGTTTCCCCGTTTGTTCGTCCTTTTCCATGCAAGCATTCGAATCTTGGCATGAAATCTTCACCAAAGTGTTTCCATTTTTTTAGTAAGACTGCAAGATAAGAGAAAGGCCCTAGCCGTCCTCGGTAAGTGAAATTTAGAAAATGTATGTATATTTTCTTTTAGGACTATTTTATACAATGAGTGCTACCGCTAGATACATTTGTAAGAAGACAATTTTATCCACAGAGTATGTGCCAATGATAAGACCCCTCCCGCTCGAAATGGGGGTTTTATAACACTTGACATGGGAACACATGTGATTTATATAGGACAAATTTTTACGGTTTTGACAGGGTGCGAAAAAGAGGAGTTGTTAAAAAAATTTACCCTGACAACGCATGGGTTTCACTATTTTGTTACATATATTTCGTTTATGAGCATTGAATCCGCCACGTTGAGGTCCTGATAACCACCTGGTTATCTCACCTGTTTGACACACAATTGAGGTGCCGTGCATAATGCATGTCGCACATACCAAGGCATTGCATCATTCTTATGTCAACATTGCCATGGATACGTGACATGCACTAACTTAAGACATACATTTTAAATTCATAATTCCATTTTGCCTGATCGATAACATGTTATCTGCACGGCCCCTAAAGATTTAACTTGTGTATGCTTTCCATGCTGAAAAAACGGCCCAATTAATTTTCATATCTCATCTCGTCCAACCTTATCAAGCACGTAATTAATTAACTTTATGGTGTACAATTGTCGATCACGTTGTGTCCACTACGGAGGAATTTTGAGTGCTTTAACGTTGCGTACAAAAGTCGAGGTGTGGCCGAGATCGGGTTTTCCTGCAGAAATATTGTAAAATTTCAAGAAATTAAGGGGAAAAAATGTCGACAGAGTCAAAGGTTAAGGTCAAAAAGGACGTGGTCCTGGAGTGGATGCACCTCGTCGCGTTGAGCATTAACGACGAGTTGGACGGTGTGTTGAGATCCTTGCGAGGATGCAACGTCATCACGGAGGAGGAAGAAGGACAAGTGGTAATTAATGAATTGTATTTAGGGATTAAATAAATATTATAAAAAAATAATGTTAAAAACACTGTGGATAAATTTGAGAAAATACTTGCTTTAAGTTTTACCAAATGGTTTTTTTACGTTTAGAAATTTTTGTTACAGCTTTGTAAAAAAATAATCACGACTAAAGAGTTAAGAAACACATTTTGCATGCAAATCATGTCTGTATCTGTCCACATTTGAAGTATGTACATAATTTTAACATTACAATGTCAGAAATAAATTTAGATGGCTAAATTTAGAAATCATTTTGTTTCAATTTTGTTTTCAATTTTGTTTTCAATTCAATTTACATTTTTAACCAAGACTAAAGTTTGTATCATTTTGTAAAAAAAATAATGACGGTCAAAAACGTCAAGTTCTTTAACCATTTAATTTATTAATGCAAATAGTACCGATTAACGAATTTAATTTGAGTGGTACAATTAACAAAATTACTATTTCAAAGATGAGTTATAAATTTCCTAAAATAATTTCCAGACCGGAAAAGAGACAGGTTTCGAGAAGAAAAATTACTTGGTCAGCATGATCCGTGGCAAAGGAGAAGGATCTTGCACCATGTTCGTCGCCGCGCTTCGCTCCTCGGGAAATGACGCGGCCGCGGAACTATTTCTTGCCCCACCCGCGCCACAGGTGGACGAACCGGAAATAGACGAAGTCCAAAACCACACCCAACTGAACCAGGAAGGGCTCGATTTTGCTTCCGAAATGGAGAAAGAAATGGACCTAATCCAATCCGGGTTGGATGACCAAGTCGAACCGGAAGTGACACCGGAAGTGGGTGCTGTTATGGAACAAGTCAAACCGGAAGTGGAACCTGTTAAAGAAGAAGTCAAACCGGAAGTGACCCCAACTCCCGCCCCAAGATCCGTAAAAGTCGACCCGAAACCATCCGACGAAAAGGAATTTATCCTGCGTGAAGATAAAAAAGAAGAGCCAAAATTACCGAGCGAGGTTACCCCCTCAATTGTTGCGATGAACAGGGGCATGTTCGAAAAAGGAGGCGCTGGAAAGAAAAACGTTTCCTTTGCGGTAAAAAAGAGCGCTGTTCCGGAGAAGGTGGAAATTAAGGAGGAAGAAAGGAGTGAATCACCGGTTAAAAATTTGAAAGACTTTTTCCAAAAGATGAGCTCGGTCGATAAAGGTGAGAAAAACGGTTCAAAATTTCAGAAAATTATTATGTTTATCAGGGAATCTCCATATATTGCATCATCAAAAAATGGGTGGGTGGTTTTAGGTCCCCTATCTTACCTATGTTAATCTTATTTGTAACATGAGTAGGATAAGGATGTCAAAAAATCTAAGTTTTTGATGACGTAAAATATGAATGTCCCCTAATAATGCAAATTTTAATTTAGGTGAAGCAGTTCCTCGAAGAAATGGAACCGCTAGGGGTGCGGCTAGGCCAAGAACGATGATTTAAAGAGTACATACAGCCATGTTTATTTTCTCGAAATTTTTAGTAATTACATATAGAACAAATTTGACCAAAATTTTGCACAAGTTAAATAAATCGAAAATTTGAAGTACTATGTGACAAATAAAGTAAAATAATATATCTAATTTTGTTCAAAACACTTAATTAATTTGATCCTTGTCGCATCTCATCAATCCACGGAACATATTTTGCAATGTCGAGAAACGCGGAGGGATACGCGTTTCCGGCCGAGCGTGAACATGGTTTAGTTTTACCCCCATCTTTTTCCGGTGGGGAGGGCGCGTCGCAGAGAACGTGCAACTCAGCGGTGTGGACATACAGCCCGCAAAGGTAGGTGGACCCGTCCTCCTCGTCTTGACAGGCGAGTGGCGATCCGCGGTCCCACGTGAGCCCCACGAGGTTAACGGCGCCACCCTCGTTGTCGATAAGGCCACCACAAAACATTTGAGCGGCAGGGATGCGGTACTTGCCGTAGAACGTGTCGCACAGCTGGTGCGAAATGAGGGGCATGGTGACCTTTTTGAGAGAACCGTTGCCATCAATTACCGGGCCTTGCCAGCCAGTTAGGAGGGATGATTGACCTGTTTAGATAGATATTTCATAATAAATTATGAGGCGAATTTGGCTCAGCAGGTAATGTGGCACCACATATTTTTGTCGGAATGGGTTCAATACTTGGACTCTTTTTACTTTTTGTTTTATTGTAATTGTATGAATTATTGATTATTTTGACTAAGAAACTGATTCGTAAACTATAGACGAGAAATTAATTGCACCATATTTTTTTGCCGTATTGGGCTCAAAACCTGGGTGCATCGTACTTTTTCAATGTTTAATTTTACCAATTTTGGACAGTTTTGAGCTTTGTGGTTAATTTCTTGGTAATACTTACCGGCTAAGCTTTGATTTCTTCTTGGAAGTGGGATAGGCTGTACGGTTTCACTCCAAACGAAAGGTTCACTAACCCTGAAGAGAGCGATGTCGTTCCTATTTGGGAAGTCAAGGACGGGCCAGACAACGTGAAAATCGTGGTGGAAGGTCATCTATGTAGTTTTAAACAAATTTATATATTTACTCTGAAGGACTTTTAGGACTTTACTCTGAAGGACAAACATTTGATTTGTTTTCTGACCTTTTCGATGTTACGCCTCAATCCACCAAACCCGTTTAAATCGACCCTCCCCACGAGCAAGGTTAACAATGGGAGGACATCGAGATGGATATCGGCCGACGTGAGGATATGATACTCGTCAATAATTACCCCGCTAAAAGTGTGATATGTAATCGTCCCGAATAATTTGGATTGAACGGAAACATGCCATGGAGCTTCGCCCGGTAGGACAGGATCCATTTGTGCAGTGGCTATTAAAACAAACAAGTAATTAAAATGTTTTAGGAAATTTAAAGAAATTGTTCTAATTCATTAATCAATGAGGAGTTTGTGTTGGATTAACTTTTATATGATTTTGTTGTAAATAAGCTTGATTTTAGATGGATCAATTTATAACCAAAATTAGAATTTAAAAATTACTGTTAGATATTTGTTCATAAATTAATTTGTCTCTACAATTTTTGTAAATATGTATATGTAAAAATAACATTATACCTAATTCTTAGATTTGTCTACATTAATCTAAAAAAACATGATTTATCTAGTAAGTTATTACAAATTTTAGCTCACCTGTCGCCATAAAGGTCACCGTTAAGAAGAGTATCGTCCACATGGCGATTTGTTTGAAAGTTTTCAACTTTACCAATTAAGTTTGGATGCTCGAATGAATGTGATTAAAATCGTATCAACATGAAATGTACCCAAATTAATCAAGAGCGTTATCTTATGCAGTCAGCATTCAGGCATAGGCATTGTATTACACACACTGCTACTTTGTACATTTATCACGCTTTGACAACGATCACACCATATTAATTGACAACTCACTCGGTCAGCCAAGGATTTGTTTACGATTACGACACGAGGCATAAATAATTTGCGTACCATACACATGTTGGCGTCCAATCTATGTATGGTTTGGACTCATTTAAGTATTTACTTTATCTGACGCACCTGTTTTTACTCTTCCCAATGAATGAAATCCACTCCAGGTTTGGACTTTGATAATGGAACGTGCTTTAACTTTATTAATATTTCCACTCGAATTATGTAAGTACAAAGTTCAAGAATTTAATGGAAAACTGTCATCAATTACGTCACGGAATTGTGGGCTGATACACCTGTTGTTTTTAATGTATGTAATGCGCTAATGGTTTGGACTTTGATGATTGAACGGGTCACATAGTAATTATTTCTACCCGAGTTACATAACTACAGAGTTCAAGAATTTAATGCTAAATCGTCATCATTTTCGTCACAGAATGGTCACCTCAGCAGGGGTACAGTCCAAGTGGTGAGGACGGTTATGTACTACATGACACGCATGCCGCCCCTGAGCCAAGTTCGGGACTCAATTAGATAAATATGTTATCTGGCACACCTTCTTTAATCAATCAATGGAATGCGATTAGGGTTTGGTCTTTGACAAAGGAAATCGTGATTTACCTCATTATTTTTTATGCACGGGTCGAGTTCCAACATTTAATGGGAAATTGTTTTCTTCATTTGCGTCATAAAATTGACGCCTGACGATGTTTTGTATGTAATTAATGAAATGAGTTCAAGGTTTGGACTTTGGTAATGGAACGTGTTATTTACTTTTTATTACTATTTACACTCGAATGAAGTATGTTCAGAGTCCCAGAATTTAATGGGAATAAAACTGTCATGAATTGTGTCATCGTCATCATGGCTTGGTCACCTCAGCGCGGATCCAGTCCAAGTGATAAGCCACGTTGGTGGAGACGATGGGATAACCCGAAAAAGAATTCCAATCCGTCTCAACTTTCCCCGTGGAGAAGGAATAGATCCCGCAAACGTAATCTGTACCGGACGGGGCATCATGACATGTCACGGGATGACCGCGATCAAGGCCGTAATCGGTTTCATATGAGGATCCGTCTTCTTTCTTCAGGAATGCGGAGCAAATTCGTCCCGGTCGGGTTTTGTGGTGACCGAAAAAGGTGAAACACTCGTCGTAGGAGAGGATTGGCATGGGGAGTTTGTGAAGATCGGGGGATCCGGAGATCCATCCGGTGATGGTGCCCAGTCCTGTAAATAGGCGGGAAAAATGGGTTTTTTTAACAGCGAAATAAGTAGGGTTGATAATCTGATCCAGGATTATCCGTATTTATCCGATCCGAGCCGATTGGATCGGATTAATGCTACGGTAAGTACAGGAGCGTTTCAGAAAACCCGATCGTATCGGATATTGTCAGATCGGAATTTGGAACCCTAATCATAAGCTTGAGGTTGGAAACTCTTAATTTAAAATTAAGTTAAAAAAAGTTTGGAAATACGAAAATTTTAAATTTTCGTAATGACGCAAAAGTTAGGTTCCCGCAATTTATTTAGGGCACGTGTCAATAAGTATGTATTTACCTGTGGGAACGTGCCACGCTTCAGGGAGAACTGCTGGTTGGACAAACTCACTAAAAATTAAGGGTTGTGCGAGGGTAAGGACTTCTAAATTGTTGTTAATTGTTTCAGAATTTTGGTAACAACGATCAGGGTGCCAAACAGCCTATTTAATACAAGTTATACATTTGCTTTTAGATTTCTTTTCCCTTCATGTATTTACAGAGGGCGGATATGTATTTATTTTTAGTTCTATCATTAGATGACTACCGACGATAAAACTTAGTTTGCGTTGTCTCTAACTTTTGTAAATCACAAAAATTCAAGGTTTTCAGACGTGTGTATAAAATTTCCAAATCGAAAGTAAATAAATACATACATATTTTGGGCCGATGTGCCTTAAATACATATCCACCCTCTGTTCATTTATGTAACTTAATCATGTTTGTATGTACATTAGACAAATTACGAATTTGGACCCCTTCACCGTCCAGATTGGATAGGTTGTTTGTTCCCGCCACGATCCTGTACCGGGTCGATGGGGCCGCCCCGCCATCAACAATGGTCGCGGTAAGAACGTGTCTGTCATCGAGGATGACGCCACTCCCGTGCTGCACGTAAGTCCCGCTTCCCGCTCGATACTCTTGGATGGCGACGTGGTATGGAAATTCCTTCTCCAGGGCGGGGACAGGTTGTGGCGGGGGGTTATTTTGGGTAAGTGCTAAATAGAGAGGGTATTTAGTACAAAAAAATACCCAAAAACTAAACAATTGAGAAAGTCATTGCTGATTTTTAAAATTCTCGCATTTTATAAAAAAAATATAAAAAATTTCACAAAATTAAAAGAGACGCCCAGGATCTAAGTAAGTTTAGAAAAATTTGTAGCGGTCTTTTAGTTTGAAATATTTCCAGAATTTTGGAAAAGTTTGTAAGTTTACGGATTTTACAATTTGATCCAGACCTACATACGTAAATAAGCTCAATATTTTCGGGTTATGGCAACATAAGAAAAATATGTATAAAATGTATAAAAGTGTTGCAGTTTTTGGATAAAAATAGAGTTTTAATTTAGGATTTACTGACCTTGTGCCAAGTAGCACATAAAGAGGAGGAAGTTGAAAATTCCCATATTTCCAAAAATTCTGGTAAGAAGACAAGTTAATCTTAACGTGAAAGCTAAGTGGATGCGAGGGTATAAATGAACCCAGTTAACCAAGTGAGGCTGGTTAATATGCGGATTGTGTTAATTAGTATCTGTAAAAAGAGAATCATACATACAGTAAGCAAAAGAATAGATCGTACCTTTACGTATTTTTAATTGCGATATGAAACCGCGCACTTAGAGCTTCGGTGTTCTGCACGCTGTTGTTTAAACTCATAGGCGAACAATTCCTCGTCGCCGATTTTTAATGTCACCGCACGGTCAAAGGTCAGAATTTTTTCAGCAATTAAAAATGAGAGGCCAAAATGAAAACTTCATGGATAATTTTTTTTGGACTTTCCAACATTTTTTATTGAATGCGGCAAGGCTTCACGAAAAAAATGAGCTATCACACGACCGTGTACGATTTTTTAGACGCCCAAAGGATTTTTTCGCCATGGAGAGTTTTGAGGACTAAAATCGTGACCGTGGCGAAATTCAAAGAATTGAAATATACAAAAACATATAAACATTGAATATATATTTTTGTATATCTCAATTCTTTGAATTTCGCCGTGGTCACGATTTTAGCCCTCAAAAGTGTCCATGGCGAAAAATTCCTGTGGGCGTCAAAAAAAAATCGTACACGGTCCTATGATAGCTCGTTTTTTTCGTGAAGCCTTGCCGCATTCAATAAAAAATGTTGGAAAGTCAAAAAAAATATCCGTGAAGTTTTCATTTTGGCCTCTCATTTTTAATTGCTGAAAAAATTCTGACCTTTGACCGTTCGGTGACCTTAAAAATCGGCGACGAGGAATGATTCGCCAATGAGTTTATACAACATCGTGCAGAGCACCGAAGCTCTAAGTGCGCGGTTTCATATCGCAATTGAAAATACGTAAAGGTACGATCTATTCTTTTGCTTACTGTGTGTCTTATCTTTAGTGGTGAGATAAGCATGCTGGTTGATGCAGGCATGCATAGTGAGCGCAATTTTGTAAGTGATAAAAGCCACATATACATATCTATGTACGTATAAGTATGTCCATACATATGTACATATATATACTGAATATGTTTAAATACTGAATATTGTTTTTACAAGGTTTACTAACACGGTTACAGAGTTTAAGAAACTATTGTACAGCACTCGGATTCATTATCCAAGTTTTGGCAAAGTGATTGATAAAGAGATAATCATCTTGAAAGTTTTAACATTTTAACATTAAAATATGTTTAATTGCGTTAGGTCGCAGCGCCATATCTCCGGCGTCAACGAAATGAATCGGCTCTGACCTATGGATAAAATATTAAAATTCCGTCAGGTAAGGCTCAACTTTGCTCAATAATACATAAAGCTAAATGACTTCAAGAGAATAAAGGTGGGTTTAAATATGTAATTTCAGACAATTGATGACCAATAAACAAACCCTATCTTTTTGATTGCTTCGCCTTTAATCAATTTTAAATTTCCAGTTTAGTTTCAATTAATTTCTAATAAATCACAAGGAAATTTACTATGTACATTCCACTATCAAAAGACAAAATCATTTCTCATCACGTTTGCAACAAAATAAAGAGTTATTCAAAATTTACTGCCTTAAATTGCTTTTTCATTACGTCGAATCCTTTTAAAAGCAATTCAGGCTTTAATAAAGTATGTAGGCAAAGGTTTAGAAACCTACAAATATACATATACGCTATGTTTCCTTGCTAGGTCCGAAGTCTTTATTGATTTTATTTATTCATCTGACAAAGGAAATTGGAAAGCTATGTTATGGCTTTTATACAGAATGGGTCATGGGTTAATTAACTTAGAAATGACATAACCGTAAAAAATTCAATCATACGTCCATTATTGAGCACTATACAGGATCAAAACCGGTAAGAGGAGGATGTATACCTACCGTTTTTGAGTTAAACAGTGTCTTGGGAATTGACCAGAAATGGTTGCCAGGTTTCGTAGAGAGGTGTGTGGAGCACGGAAACTTTAAAAATACCTAAATACAAAATTGGTGTATAATTGGTGCATTGGTGGTTCAGGTTTCTAGAAAGTGGTACGCGAGCTAAAAAAATCAACTATTGAATATACATATCCTTACTTATGAAATTTATGGAAGTTTAAGTATCATTTTTCCCATTAAAATTTCAACAGTTTCTGCATTTTTGGTTTTATGTAGGTCCTATTATGTAGTTCCCCCAGTATAAGATATGTATATTTCTCTGTAGTTTGGGCCCAACAAGAGCGTCTACTAAGGATTAGTCCCTCAGAGGTTATTTGATTTGACATTTTTCAAATAATGGCAACAATAGCACGCTCTTTAGCATCGTCAGTCACTTGGATACGGGATAAATCTTTGCCATCCTCTAACATTCCTCTAGTCGTTAGTCTCACAAAAATGACATTAATTGTCGACCAGTTTCCTGTCACGATACACAAGGGAACTTTTGTACTAACAGGCGCAAACAAATGTCAACGCATATTAGCAACTTCTGTTATATGTCATCTATTAGTAGTTCTCAAGTGGGTGTTGGACCCGTGGTTCAGCCGAGTAAATCGCTCCTCACCAGTTTGGAAACTAGTTTTTATGTACTACTTTGCAACACTTTTCGGCGCCATTGTGATTTTCATAGCTCATATTACTTTGCTAAAGGAAGAAACAGTATACCTGCTAAATTCGGCAATGCAAGTCGAACGAGCTTCCCAAGCCAAGGGTGAGTTTTCGAGATAATATTATTTGTAAGATGTAAATGCCCATATTAACGTTACACTAAGATTTGAAGATTTAAATACAAAAACCTTTCAAACAAATCGTTGAGAGAGCGTCAATTGGTCTCTAAATATCACAAACGCTCATGTTGAACATAGGACTGTAGTGGATACGATGAGTATGTTTTTTCATGTATGTATGTATAGGCCAAAATCTAGAAAAATATATACGTAGTCGTAAATGTGACATTAAATAAATAATGGGGTTTATTATAGGTATTCTGATTTACAGGGACCAACATTGTGCATCGTTTTTACTTCGTCTTCATCGTTCTGTCAAAAATGGCAGTAATTTTTATGCCAATGACATGTTTCACTTTTGGTTTACTTCGACCCTGCATGCCCCCCACCTGGACTAGCGTGATCTATCTTACATGTGAATCATGGGACGACCATGGGAATACTGGTTTCATGTTCAGAATATGGGGAGCCATTCTGTTATATTACCTATCACTTTCAGTCGTTGCCACGGGTGTGTTCGCTATCACAATCGTGCTAATTTATCCCAATGAAGTGAAACTGATACTCCTCGAGGCAATGCTAAGGTAAAATTTATTATACGAAACAAGGTCCCAAAAGGATGGAAATCTTAGTGAGGCTTGGTACAACTACAGATGTGAAATAAATTTTTCCGAACAAGATTTGCAGCACCATTTTGCAACTTTCTATTGGGAGATTTAGTTTCATAAATTAGTCATAATAATTCGAAGGAGCAAGAAAAGAGACCGGTGAATAAAGGGATGCCTGAACCGTACTTATGCTTATGCTTGAATCAAGCAGCTTGATACCGCAGACAGATAAACTTAATTGTGTACTTCTCCAGTCAGTTGGTGTTGACTTCTCTAAAATTCTGTATTTGAATACAATTGCTACAATTTGTAAACAATTAATTTATTTCGGAAAATTTATTTCATATCCATAGTTGCACCAAGCCAATACACCAATGCGTAATCTTACAGAGACTTGAGCATAGAAGGTCGACATGTTGCCCCACGCCTGTACACCTACCGTACCCTGCAGATGCTAACAGACATGCACAATACCGTCTTTGGGTACCTTATCATGTCCATATTAATCGGAGCAATAACAGTCTGTGAGAGCTTTGCGTTGTACACGATAATAACTTCGACATCCGAGGTTCCTATCCCGGTTATAATTTTATTCTCAACGGTGGCAGTTGACTTATTGATTGTTATCGTGGGACCTTTCAAAATGATGGCAAATCCTCTGGTCAAGTCGATCGAACTACTCGAGGCTTTACAATGGATGAATGGATCTGGATGGATAAGACGGTTTGTCAGGTCGTGCCCACCATCAAAAATGACATTAGGTGATGGCAAATTTTTCGACAAGGCTACGTCTCTAGTAATTTGTAGTACGTGTGCAGACTTACTTATTACTTTTCTGCTGATGTAATTTTTTGCAAAACACTTAACACGTAACAAAAAATGTATGTAAATGACAGTGTAAATGTTGTATCGAATTTATGGGATTTCGCTGCTTACGACTAAAAGCAGCTTATGATCGTTATTTAATTGCTTAAGAATCAAGTCCCATTTGCAAATTTCATACTAATTATATTTGTGATCGATTGACACTAGTTTGGTCCAAATCTGTGAGCATACGTTGGGAGACCTCCATTGTTAGTGGGGACAGGCTAACTGTTAGTAGAATGAAACGCCCTAGCCTCAACAATTTTTGTGCTACAAGATTCTAGTTAGTTTTATTGGAAAGCCAGTTAATTTCTGAGTAGAAAACAATTTTTAGTTTTCGAAATTTCCTCCCCCGGCATTAATGCAGCGCAGAAAAGCCGCCTGCAGTCCTCCGCTGAATCAAGCAGATTCCTGGACAAAGTGTTCCATTCCGTGGTCAAAATTTTTTTTCAAGCCTCCGCACTTTTACGGGGCTTAGAACACACCTTTGCCCCTAACTTTGACCATTTTTCGGTGATTCAAATCCAGCAAGGATGATGAATATTTCTGATTGGAGGTAAAAACCAAATTCCGGTCTTTACCAATTTTACAATTCATTACAGACCAATTTTACTAAGACTACTTTTAGGCAAAGTAAACATATCTTGTCAAACTGATTGCTCCCACTCTAATCGATTTAAAATTTAAAATTCAATTCTCAATTCATACAAAAACATTTTCAACGTCATCGCCACACAGGAAATTTACTTCGTTCCATACTCGGCAGTAAACATCTTGTCAAAACTTTCCTTAACACGTTCGTCACACAGCAATGCAAAATTAACTAGGTTTAATGGTTTGTTGGTCGGTCGAAA